ATTTATGCCCTCTGGGCTGCAGGGGCCCCATCATTACTTCCAACTCTGTCTCAATGATAATATGAGAAATGAAATCAGAATATATATTGGTTAATTTTTATACTTCTGTAAACTTGAGTTTTCAGACTGCAGCTGGGACTTGAAAGGCTGAGAAAGAACAGGCATGTGGGAATAATTCCAAAAGGAAGAAAGAAACTAGATCTATGAGAGTCAGAGTAATATTTATGATGTGGAGTTGAGATAGACTGAACTAGACTCTTCCATTGAAGTCCTTTTCCCTTGACCTACCTTGGTCTCCAAGAGGGAGCTTAGATGTATCTGACTCCTGAAAGCTCAAATAATATTTTGACTTATCAGTTTTGTTTAGGTGAAAAATAAGTTGAGGATGTGGAATACAGATGGTTGTAGGAACCACAGGATCAATTAATTTAAGAATCTTTCATGGACATTTAGCTCTACTTACTCTGATATGTCTAAATTATGATTCTACTCTTCCGCTTAACAAATAATTTCGTGTCCTTTTAGAATCTTAGAGTCAAAAGTGAAGTGTGTGAAAGTTCCAACATGATAAGGGATTTTTTTAATGGGTTAATGTGGTAGGCTTGGTGGCTTTTTTTATGTTCATATATATTTTTTATTAAGGTATTATTGATATACACTCTTATGAAGGTTTCACACGAAAAACAATGTGGTTACTACATTCGCCCATATTATCAAGTACCCCTCTGCCCCACTGCAGTCACTGTTCATCAGTGTAGTAAGATGCCACAGAGTCACTACTTGTCTTCTCTGTGCAACACTGTCTTCCCCGTGACCCGCCCCTACACCATGTGTACCAATCATAATACCCCTCAATCCTCTTCTCCCTCCCCCAACCCTCCCCTTTGGTAACTGCTAGTCCCTTCTTGGAGTCTGAGTCTGCTGCTGTTTTGTTCCTTCAGTTTTGCTTCATTGTTATATTCCACAAATGAGGGAAATCATTCGGTACTTGTCTTTCTCTGACTGGCTTATTTCAGTGAGCATAATACCCTCTGGCTCCATCCACGTTGTTGCAAATGGTTGGATTTGTTTCTTTCTTTTGGCTGAATAGTATTCCATTGTGTACATGTATCACATCTTCTTTATCCATTCATCTACTGATGGACACCTAGATGCTTCCATATCTTGGCTATTGTAAATAGTGCTATGATAAACATTAGGGTGCATATGTCTTTTTGAATCTGAGAACTTGTATTCTTTGGGTAAATTCCTAGGAGTGGAATTCCCAGGTCAAATGGTATTTCAATTTTTAGTTTTTTGAGGGACCTCCATATTGCTTTCCACAATGGATGAACTAGTTTACATTCCCACCAGCAGTGTAGGAGGGTTCCCCTTTCTCCACATCCTTGCCAGTATTTGTTGTTTTTAGTCTTTTCAATGTTGGCCATCCTGACTGGTGTGAGATAATATCTCATTGTGCTTTTAACTTGCATTTCCCTGATGATTAGCAATGTGGAGCATCTTTTCATGTGCCTGTTGGCCATCTGTATTTTTTCTTTGGAGAATTGTCTGTTCATATCCTGTGCCCATTTCATTTTTTAATCAGGTTATTTGCTTTTTGGTTATTGAGGCGTATGAGTTCTTTACATAGTTTGGATGTTAACCCCTTGTCGGATATGTTGTTTACAAATATATTCTCCCATACTGTAGGATGCCTTTTTGTTCTGCTGATGGTGTCTTTTGCTGTACAGAAGCTTTTTAGCTTGATGTAGTCCCATTTGTTCATTTTTGCTTTTGTTTCCCTTACCCGAGGAGATGTGTTCAGGAAAAAGTTGCTCATGTTTATATTCAGGAGATTTTTGCCTATGTTGTCTTCTAATAGTTTTATGGTTTCATGACTTACATTCAGGTCTTTGATCCATTGGTGGCTTTCTTTTTACTGCCTTCTAGAGTCAAGGAAATCTTAACCTACATTATTCAATTAATGCCTTTCAAAGTGTTCAGAGGAAGTTAGTCTAGTTCCTTTACATTTGCCTGCATGCCTCTCTATGTCTTTTCCTCTTCCAGGAAATTCAGAAATACTAATTCATCTGCACTCCTATCATAAGCAAGCCAGTTTATCAATAGTTATCAAGTCCAGCATCTCCATTTGGAACACCAGATTCTGGTTTCTAGACAGAGTACAGAAAAGTTTGCTTGCAGAACAAGTGTGGTAAAATTATAAACACAAAGATGGACAAGTAAGGTGGTATTAGTAAGGCTAGAGTGGGAAAAATAGAATTGATGTACCAGAACATTGAGAGACTAGGAAAAGCGATGGAAAGAAATGAGAGAGTGGGAATGGTACTGTTAGGCAGAAACACAGACATGAGCAGGGTGGAGAGAGAATAAAGCCAGCAAAGCCTACTAAGAGGGACTCAAAGAGTTAACCAGATATAACCAGAGAGCCAGAAAGGACTCACAGAGTTAACTAGTTGGAGTTTCAAAGGCCAGGTGTGACTTGGAATGTCTGAATAGTCCCCAGATGAAAAACAATTCCCCAAATAAAGAAAAACATCAGAGCGCAGCCCATGTCTTCATTGAACCAATTAGATCAGGCCTCCAAGAGGACAGTTTGTCAATCAAGGACTTCTCTGCCCAACCCCATGAGGTAGGGCAGGGAAAGGGGACAAAGGTCATGCCATTGTAAAAGCTATATAGCCTGTGAAAAAGGCTCAGTTTATTCTTTAACTTAATCTATATGCTGTTTTTCCTCTTCTCCCAGACCCCTTCATCAATTAAGTAACTTTGTAACTGGGACAGGAGATAGACCTCCTACGTTTAAATAAACCTATTGTAGATAAAGGATGTTGAGATCCAGACCAACAGTCTCCTAAATAACCCTATTGTTAGGACAAAACTTCAAAGGAATTATGAATCACCTTCATACATCATGCCTTATGCTGACCCTTACCAAAAGACCCCATAAAACCCCACACCTTAAACCCTTAAGCATGCATCCGTTCTGAGGTTACCCACACTCCCCTTCGAGTGTGCACTCTTTGCCTTAAATAAAGACTGTTCAATTTACATTTTGTCTCTGCACTCTTCCAGTGGTGAGCTTCCTTGTCACTTTCCTGTTCCATTCTGTTCTCCAGACTTAAAAGCACAAGTCTTCTTCACTCCCTCTGTCCTACTTCAGACAAGTAGGGAGGGGCTACTGAGAGCTCTGATTTGTACTTCCAAGTTCCCGTCGCCTGGGTGACCTGGACGGAACTGCAGCTGTGTGATCGTGCTCTTTAATAGCCTGCCTGAAAATCTCCTTCCTTTGCTTTGGCAAGTTTCCAGAACATAATCTCCCTCCATCCAGTGCTGTGAGGCTCCCCCAAATCCTGAGTGGTAGGGACTTAGTTCCCACGCCTTGTAGATTCAAGCGGACACTGGACTGGACGTCAAGAGATTGCCTTAGGCAGAGCAGGAATTCAGTGAGTTTCCGTTTGCTACCTCTGTTTTTCCATGCTCTTTGCTGCCTGTAAGGAAGCTGCCATTCCCTGCTATTCTCGATTTAATGAATTCCTTCCTCACCTTTCACTCGACTCCCCTGGTCTCAGAACAGAATTCCTTCCCAACAGCAAAGTGCTTTTCAAATTCATAGAGAGCTTGGTGGTTTACATAATTTATTTTCAACCAGCATTTTTTTTAAAAGGCACACAACAGAATAAAACAATACAGAATGTATAGCATGAAAGGACAAATGCTGTTTTGGAAACTTTTCAGTAGTGTAAATGTACATAAATATATTTTTATATGTTATGTATCATAAATAAACATACATGTGTGCACACACGTTTTATAAACTTATCTCAGACAGTGAGTCTTGGTCCAAAGTTTAAAAGCCCCTGAAACATAGCACCCAAAATATCCTGGCAAGGTAAATTCAAGGTCAAATGAGAAAGCCCCTTTTCTCTCCCATTGCAGTTCAGAACAGTTAATAGAGGGAGAGGAAGTAGTCTGTAAGGGAGGGGGTGCCGGAGAGGTCAGGCAAGAAGCAAAGGTGCTTCAAGGCATGCAAGTGCCGGGTGCCTCCCGCAGGAATAGTCCACTGAGGGATCTGGGGAGCTTGACTTTGAGCGCTTCCCTTATATGCTACGCAGAAAGAACTTCCGCGTCCCTCGTTCCTGAAAAGCCTACAAAGGTTTGGGATTCGCCTTGCTTCTGGAGGTGACAGAACAGGCGGTAAATCTCTGTATAGGGGATTATTTATTATTATTATTATTATTTATTATTTTTTTATTTTTATTTTTATTTTTTTATCCAGGGCGAGGAGCCAGGGAGGTGGAAGGGGCGCGGGAAGGCCGGGCTGGGTCTGTCCAAAGAGCGACTGAGGCCGTGCTCTGCGCGGCCCACCAGAGGTACAAGCAGTTCTGCAATTTGGGATCCTTTCCCCCGTGGGGCGCCAGGGCGCAGGTGGGGTTGTGTGTCCTTTCAGCAGGGCTAGCGGCGCTTCCCTCCCCGGAGCAGCAACCTCCTCCGCCCCGGGCCCCGCTGGAAGGCAGCTCAGCGGCTGGGGAGCCAGCTTCACGTGACCGGCGGCGCGAGCCACCGCCTCCGCCGCGCCCAGGCCCCGCCTCTAAGAAGTCTCTCCGCCCTCTGAATGTCCGATCGTTCCGCCCCTCTCCGAGTTCGCTAATTGGCCGGCCCAACAAACAGCCCTCCGCCACGCCCCCGGAGTCCTAGGGAACGCAATGGAGGGCGGGGCCTGGTCGGAGGGGCGGGATGAGAGGGCTCTTCGCGGGTAAAGGGGCCGCCTGAAGCGCGGTCCCAGAGTTCGGCCGCCGCGCGCCGACTGGCCCTCCTGACTCACTGCCTGCGCCTCCCCTGCCCGCCGCTGTCACCCGGGACACCGGCTGCGATAGCCCGCCGACCCGAAGCTGCTTTCATGGCAGCCGCAAAGAAAGCAGTCTTGGGGCCGTTGGTGGGGGCAGTGGACCAGGGTACCAGCTCGACACGATTTTTGGTGAGCCCGGGGTGACTTATGAGGAGGCCGGGGCGGAAGCCTGGATACGCCGGGGCTGGGTGTTGTGTCCCCATCCCGCGCCTGCCCCGGCTCCGGCCAGGCTGCCAGTCAAGGGGAGGAGGCCAAAACCCCTTGAGCGCGACTGCCATGCTGAAGCTGCCCTGCCTGGGGCTAGGGGACCTCGGCCTCTTGCGACCCCTACAGCAGAGTAGCTACAGCCTTGCTGGTGGAGCCAATCACCTGCTAACGGAGGGGACTCCTCCTCTAAAGGGAGCTAGGACTTGCCGAACATCCGTGCACAGCGGTCTGCCTGCAGCCAGGGACAGGTGGCCACAATGACCGCTGCTGCGGTCTTCCCCAGGAGCATTTGGCCCGCAAGGCGCAGGACGTCCTTGGATGGGGGGAAAGCTGTGTCACGGCTGTGGGAACCTAACACAGCGTCCTTTGGAGCAGTAAAGCGAATATAGTGTTAGCATGATGTTGCGTTTTCATCCTCTACCACAGAAATTGCAGAAGGTAAAATGCTAAGGGGGTGGGGGTGTCAGAACACATTAGAAAAAAGTCATACTACACTGCTTTTACCAGAATCTTTATTTAATTTAGACGACTGGCAAACTTCAGTTCTGATACTTTGCCCATTACAAGCAGATGATTGACCTCTCCGTGCTTTGTAGCATAAAGCTACAGGGAAATTCTGTTTTTCTCTTTTTACTTACCATATTTGAAGTAGCATAATGGAGTGCTATTTAAGTGACTACTGATTAGTCTGTTTTGTGCAATTAGAACCTGCTTTTAAAGAAATTTAGCACTGAGTTCAGTAAGCTAATTTCAAAGTAATTTAAATAAACCTTTGCTGGTTAAAAGCCCATGTTTTCAATGGGCATCTGACTAAGCTGGCAAGTTGATATAAATATTGAATGATTTATTTAGCTCTGTCTTCACTTTTTCATCTCAAATCATTTTTAGTGCATTATTTCATATGTATATGTATGTGTACCTATACTGTTTGTATACATTATACATACAGCATAAATATTTTTGTCAAAGTACTGTTTAGCTGATCACTTGATGAAAACCTACATTTGTACCTTCCTTTTGATTCTTGTCTCTGCTGTCTGAAGGAGAAAGCTTTCAGTCCAATTTTAGTCTGAATATTCCTTCATGACTTACCCTGGTTTGAGCTGCCACGGCATGGTTCTGCCATCTCTTACCCTGTTTATCTTTTGATCACACAGGGCAGGTTTCACTTTGTCCTATTTTCATATAAGTGTTTATAAAGGAATCCTGAATCATAAGTCAGAAAGTCTGCCTAACTGGATTTGATTAATATAAAATACACAATCATCATTACCATCTTCCCAAATTAAGAAAGGCCATTAAGACGCGTGTTAACGGTGGGTAGATTTTGGAAGCCATGTTCAAAAATTGCCCACACAGATACCTGCAGGGGCTGCACAGGTAGAGGGAGGAGGGCAGACTGGAGAGCAGACGCACATCAAGGGGACAGCCTGTAACTAACTGCCAAGCAGGAGCACAAGCCCAGTATTGTCAGACTGTCACATTCTTTAAGAAAAGCAGGTGATCTATAGAGTTTTCAGTGACATCTTCCTATTTTTAAATGTTGTTAACTAGTTCACTAAGTACTATGGATACCAAACCAAACATGGTAATTGTTCTTGAGTCCATACAGCCTTTGCCCTCTATGAAAGTGGGTAAAATATTTCATAATTTTGTAGGCTTCCTTTTCAGGAGCCAGCCTTACTGTGCTTATCTTCCTTTTGACTCTTCCCTGTTGCTGCCCTGTAGCCCAGCAATCTGCCTTATCTCTGACTGCAGGTGGTTCCTGGTCCCTTAGATTCTGTTGCCCAAGAGGCATCTTTCTGCCTTGGTGGGGAAGGAATTGATCAACTTCCTATTACCACCATCCGTTGTTCAGCATGTGGCATGAACAACATGAGCCTTCAGAAGTTGGGTTCTGTTTACTGGGCTCTGTGTGGCATAATCTCACTGGGTAAGCTAAGGTGCAAATTCAGAAGATTCCCATTCTGCTTATAATAGAATGATATATAAAAGTTGATTGATAAAGTTTTCTGCTCTTTGAGAAACAACTATGAAGGAATGCTTCAGAGGTAGATAAAGTTCCTGTGTGATGTAGAGAAAAACTTGGGAATGGTTTAGCAAGGTGTTTTTTTTTTTCTTTTGGTTATAAGGAAAGAGTGTTCTTAACCACTCCCTGCAAAATGTAGATAATAGATTTGCTGAATAAGTGTCAATCACAAAGTGATTCCCCGGAGTTGCTCCAGGCACATTGTTCCATGTTGTAATTATGAGTCAAAAATAATTGCTTACCTTCTCAGAAATAGAGTGGATAAGAACTCTCATAAGGAAGCATATGAAGTTAAAGGTATTTCAATAATTTTCTGACCATTCATTAAATTTGCATGTATGATTCAACTTTCACAAGACCTATAACCTTCAAGCTTTCTTCTCCCCTTTCTGTGCTAAAAATATTAGCTTTCTTCCATAAAGGACACAAGATGTCTTTATTCTTGCTTTCTCACACGAGGGAAATGCCTCTTCCCCCGTTCCCCAGATCTGCTTCTTGAAATTCTACTCTACCTCCAAATTGGCTCAACTGCCATCTCTTAGATGTCTTCCTCAAACCCTTAGTATAAATTTGTCCCCCTTCCCATAGCACTTCTTTACCTCTATTAATAGCTCGTATCACCTCCTTTGTATTACATACCTGCTGTACTTGAGATCAGGGACCTCCTTGTTCATCATTGTATTCCTTAAAACACCTTGGTCAACACAACAGATGAATACGTGTTTTGTCTACAGGGATCACTTCATACATATTTATTGAATAGATTTTTATTTCTCATTACTAGGTTACTGAATTTTAATTATGGTTCTCTTTTTTACCTTGTCAAAAAAAATCCTACAACTTTCTGACTTGGGTGTGTTTGAATAATTTTTTCTATTGTAGCAGTAGACCTGCAGTTTTAGAATATGTTCATTTCTTCCTCCAGTTGTCAAAGAATTTGTCTTGGGACCCTATGCATATGTTTTACACTACAAGAAAATTTCCAACTTGTCTGATAGGAAAGTAAACTGGGGCTGGCACATGGTTACTCAGATTACAGAGTAGGCACTTCTTGGAAATAGGATTAGTGAAACAGGTTTCAAGGAGGGGCCGTTTGTTTATAAGACAAAAGTTTCAACGTAAATAGTCAACTTCCTTCTTTAATTTGGTAACTTTGTTTTTTCCCCATGAAGTTGAATGTTAAAAAAACAAACAAACAACAAAACGCTTGGACTGTGTTGTGACTTGAAGTGCTTCAGGCACTGCACTGGGCTTTGCCAGCATTATCTCACTTAATCCTAACAACCACGATAAAGGTAATATTAGTAAACTCCTTTACACAGGTGATTAGACTGGGCTGATTGGGCCCAAGGTCTCTGAGTAACTGGTAGAACTAGGACTCAGGTTCAGGTGTGTTGCAGCCAGAAGCTTATCCCCAGAACTCCTGCCTAAGGCTCCCTGGCAGCCTGGAGTACTGCACAAGGAAGATAAGGGCCCGGGAAGGCACGCACCCACCTCACACTCAAGCATCCGTTCTGATTATGGTGACAGATGAATCTTCACCAAGAAAAACATACTTACACATTAGTTTCGCAATATGTAAAAAATGTTGCCTCTGAATATGTGCAGTTGGTTTTGATCATCTTGTGACTCAGATTCAGCGGGTCTGGGACGGGCTCAGGTGTAGTCACCGTGGATAATGGTTGCACAATCATTTTGTTCCAACAGCCAGCATCCGTGAAGAATGACTAGAATTGTAGTCCTGTGCTTGTTTTGGCAGGAAACATTGCCTTGGCCCCAGCTGTCTCATCATACTCAGAGATCTCATAAGGCTTAGGGACGGATTTCCGCTTTCTTTCATTTTTTTATTCAACACATGTTTTTTAAGAGCCCATTAGGGGCAGGGACAAATGAACAGTAAATTTGGTAAAAGTACTTTGGCTCATAGCTAGAATGAGGCCACTCTTGTGGTAACTATAGTTGTGTTTCTTCTGTGGCTTTTTCCCCCAATAAGTTGGTTTGTTTTCCTGCCCATCACATTACACAAATGGCAAGAACACATTCTCAACAGAAAGCTGCACCCTTTCTTGTTCTCTTGAGTCTCACAAGCATGTGTTAAGAGCTTTGAATTTTGAGCTTCTGGAGGGGCAGAATGGTGCCTTTTTTTTCCTCCCCAAAGCCTAACACAGCATCAGGCATGTGGTAGGTACTCATTACAGGTATAGACATTAGCAGAGAGGGGCCAGCAGGGCTTACATGTGTTGACTAGATTTCTTGGATTGGAAGACTAGGGAGGTTGAAACTCGTGGGGTCTTGGAAGTACTTGATTTGGCAACTGTAGCTGTATCAGATTTATGTATATGCTACTTAAAACAGTGTTATTTTTTAAGAAGAATATAATGCCATTGGCTATGTTTCCTTACTTCCGTGGCTTATTGAAAGATGCCATTATGGCTTTTGTGGTCAAGTTTGCAATGTAACATATCTGTAGCTGGTACTTTTATTTTAAGTCATTCGAATTTATATAGTATGATAGTGTCCTAGAGAAGGAGTTTACATTCCTGAAAAGCATGTTATCACATAGTAAAGTTGAGTGTGGCGTACAAGGGTAGGCTCGTCGGGAAATCATGTGGGGAGGGAAATGAATGTGCATGTTCATGATGGGATGACTGAATTAGTCATAGGATGAGTAAGGCAAGCCTGAAGGACACTTACTTAGTAAGGACAGCATTTTGTCTCTCTACTACTCCCCTTCTAAGACAGAGAAGGCACGCATTGTTTCAGAAAGTGCTTTTAAACAGTTTTTTATAAAAATAATTTTCCTTGCCTCTTCAGTTTTTAAACATTCCCTCCGCCTGCAGATCTGGAATTGAGTCATGATTTAGGCATAATGGTGAATATAGAGCTGGCAGCTTCTAATTCTAAATCTACCACTTGTAGGTAATAGTAGTAGTTATTAATAATTTAATAATATTAATAATTATTAAGAAGCCGTAGCAGCAGCAGCGATGCTAACATCTTTGGGTTATGCTATGTGCCTGCCCTGTGCTTAGTTCTTTTCCTACATTAACTTGTCTCTCCAGTTTTTAATTGCCCTCCTCCCAAAACAAAATCTGGAACTTATATGTGCTTTGGGCTCAGAGATGAATATAGAACTGGTGATTTGGAATCCTAACTCTGTCACCTATGGGTCATGCTGGTGGTAGTAGCAACAGGAATAGAAATAGAAGCAGTCTAGCAACAGCAGCAATGTAGTGGTAACATCCTTTGGATGCATGCTACGTGCCTGCCCTGTATGAAATACTTCTCATAAGTTATTTTATTTGATCCTTTTACAGATGTAAAGGTTGAAATTTAGAAAAGGTAAAGTAAAACAGCTGGTGGGGGCTTGACCCTCACCCCCAGCGCTGCGTATTTCCCAGACCTGTGCCTTTTGCCTCTATGTTACCCCACGTATGGAGTTCTCATCCGCCTTTCTGGACCTCACAAAATTCTGAGAAGAGATCCCTTTCTTCTGCTGCTTCTTTTTAATTGAAATATAACTGACATATAACACAGTGCAAGTTTAAGGTGTACAGCATGTTGTTTGATCCTGCAATACTCAAGTCACCACAGCATTAATATAACTGTCACATCACATGATTATTACTTCCTTTTTTGTGGTGGGAGCAATTCAAATCTAGTCCCTTAGCAACTGAAGTATATAATACAGTATAGTTGGCTATAATCCCTGTGGTGTGTATTAGCTCTCCAGGACTTATCTACTAGTTCCAAATTCCCTTAACAGAGCTCTTTCTTTAAGCTTATGACCTAAAATGTAAGTAACTGACTGCTAGGCATCTCCATATATGTGCCAGAGTCACCCCTCCTTAGTGTACATTATCTAAAATGATATTCCTTATCTCCTTGCCCCTTTCTGTACCAAAATTACTGCTCCTTCCTTATCCTTTGCCTTGTAAACACTGCCTACCCTAACCTGCATCCTTAAACCTGTCCCCTTGACCATCCCTCCTCTTTCTCCACTCCTCCCCGTCCAAGCCCTTGACTTGCTCCTGTCTCCTTAATTGAAGCTCTCTCAGTTCATCGCTTTCACTCCCCTGCTGTGGCTGCTTTTGGCTGCTTTCCTCCTCCGCGGGGAGCCCTCCAGGTGTCTCACCTGGGTCACTGCACACACACACGCTTCCACAGATCCATATGGACTCCCTTCCATTCAACCTGAAATCTTTGTCCGGAAGTTGCTCCTTCTGGGAGCCCCTTTCTGACTTATGCAAGTCTGGGGTAGGTGTCCTTTCTCCATCACACTGGCAGCCCTGTGTTACAAAACTTGTTTGTGTTTGCTGCTACTTAATGGATGATAACAAAATCACAATTCGTATGATTTTGTACTGAAAAAGCACTGGATTGGCATTTAGAAAACCTAGAGTTTAGTGCTGTTTGTCAGTATGCACCAGTCTCCCGGAGCTCACTTTGTAAGGATAAGAGCATCACCTGAGGGCCAAGGGTTTCAGTTTCCATGTCGTTTGTTTTTTTGCCTTGGAACTCCACGGTTAAACTTGTTTCTGAAAGAGTTTAAATCTGGAAGCTGAAGTCAATGGAATCTGAAATCCAAGGTAGGGTGTAGCCCAGAGACTCAGTAGAGCTCCCTGTCCCCCCTTCCCAGCTTCTGAGGGGCCCTAGCCTCATTTTGAAAACTCTGGCCCAGAGGATCTCTAGGGTCTCTTCTAGTGCCCATAGACTCAATGTGTCTTAAAACATTCCTCTTAATTACTTTTCCTAGGAGAACCTTCTATTCTGTGTTACTGTGCTTCTGAATTTTTAAACTGACTCTTAGGTTTGGTGAATTTCAAATTTGGAAAGAGAAAAAGATGAAGGGCATCTGTAATTCTGAGGCATTTCTCCCTTGCTATCCAATGATTTTTAGGCAAATGGCCTTGCTAAATCTGTTATAAAGCAAACTATATAGCTACTGCCATCTTTAATTGACAATGGCTTTTAAAATCTACTTGAAAAGAACAGACTAGCATTCTTGCTTCTGGGCGATGTATTCTCATATGGAGTTAGTTCCCTCTAGCCATGGAGCCTTGTAGAAGCATCGTTGGCTTTCTTTGTACATTTGTCCATCTGTAGACAAATGGACAGACAGGAGGCTTCATTACAGTTCTTCACATAAACCTAGATATATGAGAAAAACAGTTCTCCATAACTGGACTGTTGATACAATAGCCAGTAGCCACATGAGGCTATTAATCACCTTAAATGTGGTTTGTGCAAATTGAGGTGAAGTGTAAGTATAAAATATATACTAGATTTCAAACACTTAGTTCCAAAGAAATGTACAAAATTTCCATTTTTATATTGATCACATGTTGAAATGATAATTTTTAGATACATTTGTTTAAATAAACTTATTAAAATTAATTTCCACCTGTTTCTTTTTACTGTTTTTTTATGAGAAAAATTTAGATTAAGTAGGCTTGCATTGTATTTCTATTGGACAGTGCTGCACTAAGTTGCAGATTGTAAAAATATTAAACCTAAAAAGTGTCCTACAAACTTAGAAGTGGTGCACAACAGGGTCAAATCCTAAATACCTACAGGTGGTATCCATCTTCTCAGACTCAGAGCTCTAAAGAAGTAGGGAGGTCCACATGCCATCCTGTTATGTCCAAATGCTATGTGATCAGATGGTGTCATGCTCTAATATGGCAGATAGAATGTCCCAAATCCTTCCCTTTTCTGTACCCATTCCAAAGACCTATAAATCAATTTTTAGTGTGAGGGTACTGAAGTAAGCCTACTTAAAAGAAGTAAGTGATGATAGAGGGATCCTACTCCGTTCATAGCCCCAAGAGTCTGCTATTGAAGTCCGCATGAATCCAGCCAACCAAAGGAGACAGACGGCTTGTTTCTTAACCAGAGCCCTTTGGGGATTTGAGAATAGGACCCCAGGAGCCGTAGTAATATGAATAAAGATAATACAACTGTGATTTCCTATTGGAGTTTTTCTGCCACCGTTTCTCATTTTATTTGATAATTTTTCTTCTAATAAGTCCCTGATAGACCATATTTTTTCAGACATTCAAGAAATAGTTACTGAGTATTGACCCTATGCCAGGCACTACTCTGGGCCCTAGAGATACTTCAGCGAATAAAACCGGACAAATGGAGTGGACATCCTAGACACATACCCTAATGCTAAGTTGTAAATTACCGGGCTATTCCTGCCAAGTGCCTTTTATTTATGATGTGTCAAGCTAGCCTTTGACTTGTAAGATATTGGATCTCTCCAAAGGATTTGAGAATTTGCCTTCTTGCTTTTATTATGTTTATCATTTCCTCCCGAAAAAGAGGTGTGTGTGGTGGGGAGGAAGGGGAGAGCGAATCACTATGTGTTTTCTCCTATTTCCCTTTCTTATCTGCGTTGAGCAGGTATTCTCCCACAGGAAACCTGCGCATGGAGACACTTTTCTTAACTAATTGGATGTGACTTTATTGCTGCAATCACAGCGACTTGGGAAGTTAATTTTAATTAAAATATGAATCCTTAACTTTGAAAGATGAAGCACTTTGGTACTTAAGTATAGGTACACCCAGATTAAAAAAACAATACATATGTAAAAAGATTGAGAAGTTTTAGTGGTATTAAAATTGTGCAGGTTTATGTAGCGTTTCCTCCTTGGGAGCTTTCCGCCATTGATTTTAATGTTTAAATCAAGGGTCAGCACTTCATTATAGTAGGACACAGAGTGCGCTGGGCTAGGTGCCAGGACACACTTCTCCCTGTGCTGAAGCAGCTCTGTTCCTCTGAGGAGAGCTAGATGCATTGCTGCGCCCTCCTTCAAAGGAACTGCCACACTATGCTTCCCTGCCTGGGCATCTATGACTGTCTCTACGTCTAAGATGGATGCAGAATGTAACTTTACACCCTCATTACCAGCATTTTGCCAGCTCTCTTTTATGCTTGGTTTTCCTATTTTCTAAAAGAAAGCAATACTCTTAATCTGTCGATATATTAAATTTCCTCCATCTGGAGCCAGTTTTGTTTTTTAAAGAATAAAGCATTGCCTCTTTAGCTTTATCTCCGATATATTTCTATTTATCCGGAGAGAAGTTATTTCTGAAGCTAACTTACAACTTTTAAGATTCTCCCTGAAGAGAAAGTAGAACATCTTGTATGGCATGTCATCTGATTCATCTTTTTCTGTCAGTGAAAAGAACTTCATTTGCTAAATAACTTTAAACATCTTTGCTGTCTACCCGTATTTCCACCCTAATCTTGCAATATATTTTTCAGGTTTTCAATTCAAAAACAGCCGAACTACTTAGTCATCATCAAGTGGAAATAAAACAAGAGTTTCCAAGAGAAGGGTAAGTTTCCTAATTTACTATGTAAAGATACATCATGTTTTTTGGTCCACCTCATCCCACATGCCCTGGTGCTTTGTAAAATAAACTTGACCATACACCATACTGAGAAGACCTGAGGGACAGGTATTAGTCATGAAAAGAAGCAATAACTGGATAGCTCCTCAAAAACATGTGGGTAATTGATGGCTTAGGAATTCAGAAAAGGGAGGGATAATAAAGTAATCAAGCAAAGGAGTATTAAATAGCAGAAATTCCACATGGACTTTGAAGTCATTTAGTTCTGCATCTCCATCATTGCCAAACTGCTGCTTTGCTAATTTGAGTGTGAGGGGGGTTTTTCCTTAAATAAAGGCACCTGTGTTTAAAAAAGCATTCACATGTTATCATCTAATACTGCAATCATCATTTTATGGAATAATGTTCATGTGTAGAAATTGTGATTAAAAATAATGTTAAGTATGCTATTTAAAATTTGATGATGTTTGTGATACAACCACTTTGAGAAACCATGTGGCAGTTTCTTGTAAAATTAACCATACAGCTGCATCATTCCACTGTTAGGAGAAATGAAAGCATATGCTATAGAAAGACTTATACGTGAACATTTACAGCAGCTTTATTTATAATTACCTGCACCAGAAACAGCCCAAATGTCAGTCCTTAGTAGAAAAGATAATAATGAAATACTGTTTGGCAATTTTTAAAAAGTGAACTGACACAAGCAACAACCTGGTTGGATCTCATTGATATCATGGAAAGTAAAAAAAGCTGGACACAAAAGTGTACATACTGCATAGCTCTATTAGAAATTCAAGAAGAGGCTAAACTAATCTAGGACAATAGACATACAAAAAATGGGTTGCCCATGGAGCATGTGATTGACTTGAAAGAGGCGTGAAAGAACTCGGTGGAGTGATGGAAATATTCTGTATCTTGACTGGCGTGTTGGTTAGATGAGTTTATATACATTTGTTAAAACTTAACAGGTTGTGTGCTTTAGATCTGTTCGTCTCACTGTAAAGTTTAATTTAAGAAAGAGACAAAAATTGACGTCTTACCAAATTTTATAATTTTCTTTCCATGAAAAATGTTCTCCTATGTTTTAGAGAATTCCTTTGTGTAATAATAAAAGCTATTGGTATGTTACCAACGTTAGAATGACTGTCCGCAGCCCTGACCCCAGTGCAGTTTGGAGAGAGGATACCTGGGGCTTGGAGGAACAAAAGTTAGAAATCTGTGGAAGCAGATTGGGCTTTTAGAAAAAGAGAATTTCAAGAGAGAATTCAAAGCACAGACAAGCCAGGCAGGCCTGAGGAGGGGAGAGAAGAAAGGCATTTGGAAATCCCTTGCTGCTCCCAGGTCCAAGGGTAAGATTCTTTCAAATTATGTCAGAATCTTCTGCCATTTATTTCTCCCAGGTTTCTCTTCTTGTCACTTGCTGTGAGACTTTTACCCTTCTGAGGGCCTTGTACCTTACAAAATTGCACTGGGATTGGGTCTGAATGCTTGGACCAGTCACTTGTTTACATGAAATAGTTATTGGCAGAAATTTAAAATTTCCCCCTAAATTCTAAAAAAACATTTTAGGGGGAAAAAATGGCAAAAGAGATTAGTATACCTAGTTGACTTTTCAGAATTCCTTTTGCTTTATAAATAAATAAGTAAAGCAATCAATCCATCTATCCCAAGAATAATACATATATCAGATGACTTATAAATAACTAGTGACTAGTGAAACATGCAGATAGTTTATCAAAATTCATCAAACCCACAGGATATAAAGAATTGGAGAACTAATTTCTTACTGGATTAAAAAAATGGTTTAAAAATAGGTAGAATATTTGCTATTTATGGTCTGTTATTATTTGCATCCTTTCAAATGATTAATTACTCCATGAAGAATAATAAAAATGTAAGGGAAATAGGCTTTTCTTTAAATCATTTCATTAGAATATTGGATATGTTTTGCTTTCCTTATCTGATTTTCTTTAATTTATGCACCAGCCACACCCTCATAAGTGAACATTTCTAGAAAAGTCACATTTGTTTTGCTTTCTTGTGAACTAACCAAATACATTCTTTTGTTCAAAGATGGGTGGAACAAGACCCTAAAGAAATTCTACAGTCTGTCTATGAGTGTATAGAGAAAACCTGTGAGAAACTTGGACAGCTCAATATTGATATTTCCAACATAAAAGGTATTTTTATAGAATATTTTACTCCCTTGTATGATTATCTCAGTCTATCATTCATTCGTTCATCTCACAATTGAGTGTCTATGAAGTGACAAGCCTCTTCTGTGAGAACTGAAGATACAGCAGTAAATAGGAAGATTAGGTCCCTGTTCTCATGAAGCTTTTATTTTAGTGGGGGTGAGACCAACAATAAAAGCAGACAAACACAAGCTAAGTCCATATACTGCTAAGCTTCATGCAGAAAATAAAACAGAGCAATACGGTCAGGAGTGCCTTAGAGGCTCACTTTAGATTGGATGACCAGAGAAGGCCTCTCAGGAGGTGATGTTTTTGTTGAGATCTCAAAGGCCAAAAGGGTCCAGCCATGTAAATATCTTGGGGAGGTGTTTTTGATAAAAAGGAAGCAGCACATGAAAGGTCCTGAGGTGGGAATAAGCTTGGCACATTCCTGTCTCAGAAAGAAGGCCAGTGTGTCATAAACAGAGTAAGAAAAGGGGAGGGGGTGCAGGGTGAGGGTGGGTGACTAAGGAGTTTCCGTAGGAGCTGAAATCAGGGAAGTAGTTAGGGCCTTGTCAGCTATAGTTAGGAGTTTGCATGTTATTCTTAGTATCACAGGGAGCTAAATATGAGAAAATTTTAAGCAAGGTGACAGGGGATGACAGGATGAATGCAGTTTAAAGACAACTTCCTGACTGCTGTGTGGAGCAGTGTGGAGAGTGGACCATAAAGGCTTAAGTGTAGACACAGAGCAGAGTGGAAGCTGCATGGCCATCCTGAGAGAGAGGATGCTGACTTTGCTGACAGTGGTAGCACTGTTGGTGGGGAGAACTGGCCAGAACTTGCTGATACATTGGATGTCAGGATAGTAGAGAGAGTGGTGGGGTGGAAGGGAGAGATGGTGAAAGACAGTACTTGGGGCTTTTGCTTGAGCTCTTGGGTGGACAGAGATACCTTTTACTGAAGAGGGAAAGACTAGAATAAGGAAAAGCTTGGCAGGGGGGAGGTTGTTTGAAATCAGAGCACTTCACTTGTAAAATCTCTCTGAAATAATTGTTGGAGAACTTTACAAACCTCTGTGTGCTGATGCCTAGTAGGCCTAAGGAATATCTACTGAAATTTGGCTTTGAATCATTCATGCAGGGAGGAAAAAAATCACCCAGTCATCCAAAATCGGTATGCTAGTGTAAAGGGTAGAAGCATCATGCAGTAATCGCCATCCCTTTATGGTTTAAGTTTTTCAGATTCATCATTAAAGGGCTATTTTTTTTTCCTTATGTAGCCTGACTCTAGATAGGGGGAACCATCAGTTGGTGGTGGTGGTGTCCTGATTTACATCAACTTGGCTCTTAGATTTACTAGAGCTGCTGAGTTGAAACTTTTATTTTCTTTAAGACTTTCCCCTATTTGCAAAAATATGACTCACTTAAAAAAAAAAGACTAAGCATAATCAAAACTATTCATTCAGCAAACTCATAGAGTGCCTCCTATGTGCTAGGTGTGCTAAGCAGTGGAGCACAAATGGGGTCATGCAGCTACCAGTTAAGTGGGGGAAACATGCTAATCCAATCCAAATTAATGGAAAATTGTAAGAGTATCTAGTTATTTCTGCCATTACAGATTTTTAGAAGAAGCACCCATGTATAATTTGATATTTTGTTAGTAATTTTTAATAGCCTATCCTTGTTTTATCCCTGCATCTGGGTCGAAGTATTTCAAACTTCAGAGTTGCATTCACCAAGTTTTAGATGAGTTGTGCGTCAGTGTGATGTTTGGTCATTTCCTTGAATTGTTCTCACAGCTTTCAGTCTAAACAGTGTAAACATATTAAGAGGCATTCAGTAGCTTACTCTGTGGTCAAAGTATGCATTTCCAAAGATACAAATATAGGTGGCTTAAAGCCATGCTGAGGGCATAGATTCTGGGATGGTGGGCCATGGTTTTTATATAATTCTACCTCCCTTATACGTAAGGTAGGCTTCAATATGTTGCCTTTTGGACCCATACAGGTGCCATTCCTTTTTCTCTTATTTTTGTGGTGTATGTGAAGATGACACATAACTGCAGTCCCAGTGACTCGTCTTCCACTTGCACTATCTGGTCTGTGAAAATACTGAACACACAGCTCCCTGCTCTACATTCTGTGTCTGTCCAGTGTGAAACCCATACCTGAGCCACAGTGACCCAACACGTCCTTCTCAACAACTACCAGCCTATGGCCAAGGAAGAGAACATACCATTAGCCCCTCCATACCAGTTGTGCTAAATTTTTTTCCCACATAACTTACTGAATTGGAACCTCCAAGGGCTAAGCCCTTGCTTGCCTATATAGAGCTCTAGATCACAGAATGCTAATGCTGTAAAGGGCCTTCTGTCACCTAGACTAACTGCAAATGAGGGAAAGGGACTCCATGCAGGTCATGTAGCTATTTAGTGATGGGAAGCATTAACGCATAGCTCCCCTGCATCCTGGTGCAGTGCTCTTTTTTCTGAGCCACTCTGATGACAACCTCACGAACTACTTTGGTTTTTAGTTCCACTGTGGCAAATAAATGACTTTTTCCAACTGAAGAAAATCCATTATATTTATATCTACATTTATATGCTTTATGTGATAATCATTAAGAGTCCTTCATAGCTGGTTGTATTTCATTTGCAAATTCCAGCTTCATTGGGTGTAGTTATCCTTACCCGTCAGAAAGTTTGTTGATTTCAGTCAAGTCCTTCTGAACAGTACCTCCAAAATTCAAGTTCACTCTCTAGCTGAACAGCACATGTGAGCCCAAGAAAAGTAAACAGGCTGCTTCCTTCCCTCTTGACTTAGAGAGTTGGGCAACTGTTTGCCTGACACTAGACTGAAGGAAGTACAAAGTATAAAGAATGACAACACCAGCTACCCCCCCTCACCTCCTCTCATGTGATACAATCAAAACACAACATACACTGTTCCAAAGCGGAGAGCATAAAATTCTCTGTGATTAGATTCTCTCCTATTGGAAGTAGTTACCATGCTGTTGGAGGAAAGAGAAACCCCAACATCCACTGCCTTGCCCTGCCCACACAGCCACACACATTTCCATCACTTCCCACCCTCCTGCTCTCAGGTGTCTCCCTCAGGTCTCAGGGAGGCACCCCATTCTGCAAAATAACTTCCCAGCAATGGGCACATCTCATTTGCATTCATTATAACTTGCCTCAAGCACACATCTTCCAGAGACTGTTGCCTTAAAAAGCTTTATACCTCTTCCCACATGGCATCCCTAGTAGCCACAGAGCCTTCTTCTGGTTTTTCTAACTATACTTTTTTAATTGTGATTATCTTTTCACAGGCATTTTAAGCAAAATTCAACCAGAGATTTTTTTAATGTAGCATTTAACTAGTTAATTTTACTAGTGGCACTCAGTGTTGAGAAAAATACCCCCTGAGAAAGAGTATATTGGTGTGAGGCATGAACCTATGAGATACAAGAGTGATACATTGGGTTTTACATATGCCAACGATTATAGTATCTGTAACTGAAAGCCTATGAAGCCAGAAAGTGTGTATTTCATGCATGTAACTTTCATATACTGCTACATGGTAGATGTGCTAGGGTGGTGAATTAAAAAGCCTGAATGCATTAATCTGAGAAAGAAGAAATTAAAATTAGGAATTATTAAGAGAGGCACATGTGCAAGGATTAGCAATCAGAAAATATATTTTTTTAAAACAGGATTTTAGGGTAAAAATGACAAGAAGGTAGAACATTTAAAATGTTCAGATATAATGCATTAAGGCCTGTGTGCCCTGGGGAGAAACTGGTAATAATGATGTGTTTATGGCTGGAAGAGAATACTGAGAAGCTATATCACTGTACTTTGATTATCTGCAAGAAAAGCAATTTTGCTTGGCATGGAGGAATCGAATTAAAATAGAGGAGAAAGCAGTATTCAGGGAGGAACTTGTGATCAATGAATCAGATAGGAATAGCTCTAGATTACATTCTGAATGCAAGTTAGAATGAGCCAATATGAAAGGTAGTGTGAGGGGCATAGAAGAGTGACACGAGGACTACAGCAAAGGGAGCAGCCAGCCTGTTTATGGAAAATTAACATAGCGGGGGAGGAATAGATTTTAGGAGATCATGAATAGATTGCAAGCCCACATTGTAAAGTCATTAAAAATATCATGTTTGGCACTAAACTATGTTTTCTACCTTTATCTTGCATCTACCTACCACTTCAGCATTTTGTTAAAAATAAAAATAATAATAATAATAAAGGGAAAAATGTGGGATCCACATATAAATCAAGTATAAAAATCAAACGAATATTCATATTTGACCTGATTGTTTATAGTTCATAATGCGTGATCAAAACCGAAAGTTTCTGTGATGAATGCCCTTGTACTGTTCACCATNTAAGAACTTGTTTGTTATGCTTCAGAAGATTGGAGACTGACGAGAATTAGGCTTGAGATGGATTAATGATTGTACATTGAGCATTGACCCCCCTATACAGAATTTTATTGTTGTTAACAACCATTTGATCAATAAATATGAGAGATGCCCTCTCAAAAAAATATATATATCATGTTTGTAATGCTCCCCTTTAGCAACCCATTGCCACAGCCCCACTGAGGTCTCTGGCCTTTATGTGCCCTGCTTAGCTCAGTCCCCTTCTCTGTAACTGTTACTCCATTCTGTCCTCACTAATAATGACAACAATGATTGGCAACGATAAGTAACATTTATTGAGTGGTTACTATGTGCCAGGTACTGTTTTAATGTACATTAACTCGGGGATTCCTCATTGTTACTCTGCAAGGTGGGGACTATTATTATCTCCATTTTACAGAATACATAACACCCAGGGTGGTGCTCCGAGGAAGCAGAGGAATTGGAATTTGAACCTCAGTAGTCTAGCATCAGAGCCTGAGCTCTATTGAATAGTGCCCCAAACTGATGATACTACTTTTGCTTAGTCCCAATTCAGCAGGTGACCTTGCTGCTACTTCACAGAGAAAGTTGAAGCTCTGGGGCCATAACTAAACTCCCTGTTCTTACACTTAATATCTGGATCCCTTATCCCTTCCTTCATCAAAAGGGAAGCAATAGCCTTCTGCTCTACTTGAGACTTCTCCCTCCACCTGTGCATTAATCCCATTCCCTCCTGTCACTATAAGAATCAAGACAGTGTCCAACTGATTCCCAACCCTGTGCCACCCCATTCTCCTTTCTCTTCCATCTTTATTCCTACAAACATTTGTGCCTCCTATTTTTAAAAAAATACACCAAAATCTCTTCCTTTTACATCTCTAAGTTTTCTTGGAGTAGAACCTTAATCATCTTTGTTCCTCTAGAAAAAGTGTTAAAGTCAATCTGCATTGGATAAAGATTATTTAGATAAAGTTTTAACTAGACTCACTAAGAAAATCAGCGAGATGGCTCAAATAAATAAAATCAGAAATTAAAGAGGGGAAGTCAAAACTAGTACCACAGAAATACAATCATATGAGACTACTATGACAATTATATACCAAGGGATTAGACAAATGAAGAAATGGTTAAATTCCTAGAAACTGAATCATGAAAAAACAGAAAATCTGAATATATCAATTACTAGCAAGGAGATTGAATCAGTAATCAAAAACCTTCCCCAAAAACAAAAAGTCCAAGATCAGAGGGCTTCACTGGTAAATTCTACCAAACATTCAAAGAAAATATTCTACATATCCTTCTCTGACTCTTCCAGAAAATTGAAGAGAAGGGCATGCTTCCAATCTCATTTTACAAGGCCAGCATTACCCTGATACCAAAATCAGACAAGGACACCACAAAAAAAGAAAATCACAGTATAGTATTCCTGATGAACATGGATGTAAAAATCCTCAACAGAATATTAGCAAACTGAATTCAAAAATGCACTAAAATGATTAACCATGACCAAGTGGGATTTATTCCAGGGATGCAAGGATGGCTCATATCCCCAAATTAATCAATGTGTACACCACATTAATAAAATAAAGGAGAAAAACCATATGATCATCTCAATAGATACAGAAAAAGCCTTTGACAAAATTCAACATCCATTCATGATAAAAACATTCAAAGTGGGTATGGAGGGAACACACTTCAACATTATAAAGGCCATATATGACAACCCACAGCTAACATCTTACTCAGTGGTGAAAAGCTAAAAGCTTTTCCTTTAAGATCAGGGACAAGACAAGGATGTCTACTCTCATCACCTTTATTCAGCATAGTATTGGAAGCCCTAACCAAAGCAATTAGGCAAGAAAAAGAAAGAAAAAGCATACAAATTTGAAAGGAAGAAGTAAAACTGTCATTATTTGCAGATGACATGATTTTATATATTAAAAACCCTAAAGGCTCCACCATAAAACTTAGAAGTAATAAATTAATTAGTAAAGTTGCAGGATACAGAATCAATATACAGAAATCTTTTGTGTTTCTATATAATAAAGAACTAGCAGAAATAGAAATTAAGAAAATAGTCCCATTTACAATTACATAAAAAGGAATAAAATACCTAAGAATAAATTTAATCTAGGAGGTGAAAGACATATATACTGAAAACTACAAGACATTGATGAAATAAATTGAAGAAGACACAAATAAGTGGAAAGATATCCTGTGTTCATGGATTGGAAGAATTAATATTGTTAAAATATCCTTATTAACCAAAGTGATCTACAAATTCAATGCCCCAATGGCATTTTTCACAGAAATAGAACAAACAATCCTAAAATTTGTATGGAACTACAAAAGATCCCAAACAGCCAAAGAAATCTTGAAGAAGAAAAGCAAAGCTGGAGGAAGCTCCCTAATTTCAAACTACACTACAAAGCTATAGTAATCAAAACAGTATTATATTGCCATAAAGACAGACACATAGATCAATGGAACAGAATAGAGAACCCAGAAATAAACCCAGACATATATAGTCAGTTAACTTATGGCAAAAGAGCCAAGAATATACAATAGGAAAAGGAGAGTCTCTTCAATAAATGATGTTGGGAAAACTGGACAGCCACATGCAAAAGAATGAAACTAGACCACTATTTTACATCATAAACAAAAATCAACTCAATGATTGAAGACTTGATTATAAGACCAGAAACCATAAAACTCTTATAAAAAAATATAGGGCGTAAGATCCTTGACATCACTCTTTGGTGATATTTTTTGTATCTGTCACTAAAGGTGATGACAGCAAAAGCAAAAATAAACAAATGGGGTACATCGACTCAAAAGCTCTTGCAAAGTGAAGGAAACCCATCAACAAGACGAAAAGGCAATCTACTGAATAGGAGAAGATACTTACAAACTACATATCTGATAAGGGGTTAGTATCCAAAATATATAAAGAGCTCATACAATAGCAAAAAAGAAAATGAAAAAAAACAATTAAAAAATGGGCAGAGGATCTGAATACACATTTTTCCAAAGAAGATGTACAGTTGGCCAATAGGCACATGGAAAGATGCTCAACATCACTAATCATCAGGGAACTGCAGATCAAAACCACAATATGATACTACCTCAGACCAGTCAGAATGGCTAGTACCAAAAAGACAGAACATAATGCGTGTTGGTGAGGATGTGAAGAAAAGGGAATCCTTGTGTGCTGTTGGCGGGAATTCAAACTGGTGCAGCTATCATGGAAAACAATATGGAGATTCCTCAAAAAACTAAAAACAGAACTACCATATGATCCAGAAATTCCATTTCTGGGTATTGATCCAAAGAAAACAAAAATACTAATTTGAAAAGATGTGCACCCCATGTTTATTGCAGCATTTCAAAATATGGAAACAATGAAAGTCCCCACTGATGGATGAATGGATAAAGAAGATGTCATATATATGTATACACACACACCCTTACGTACAGTGGAATACTATGCAGCCATAAAAATGAATGGAATCTTGCCTTTTGCAACAGAGATGGACCTTGAGGGTATCATGCTAAGTGAAATAGCTCAGAGAAAGACAAATACCATGTAATTTCACTTACATGTAGAATCTAAAAAACATGAACAAAACAAAACTCATAGATTCAGAGACTAGATTGTTGGTTGCTAGAAGGGAGAGGTGTTGGGGGATGGGAAAAATGAGAGAAGAGGGTCAAGAGGTACAGAATCCAGTCATAAAATAAGTAATTCATGGGGATGTAATGTACAACATGATGGCTATAGTCAACAATATTGTATTGCATATTATATAACTTTATATGGTTATGGGGAAACTTACTGTGATCATTTCTCAGTGTATACAAATATTGAATCATGTTGTACACCTAAAACTAATGTTACTTGTCTATTATACTTCAATAAAAAATGTACATTGTTCATTTTCCACAGGCCAGTTTTTGTTGCTTTCTATTATACATAAAATATTCTTAAGGTAAAACCTAAGTAATTACTGTTCTTTCTTAAGTTTAGATTATAGTATATTGTTTAAAATACAAATCATTGTTTTAAGCTTAATAAAAAAGATTATTTAGAACAAGGATGCTGCTGGACCCCCTCAGCTCTGCTAGTCAGAACACTGCTGTTGTTTTTTTATTCTGAGTGTACAATCTGAGTAATATGGACAAATAGTTGCATGTTCCTAGGAGAGGTGATGAAGGGGCTTTAAACCACGCCATATGGAGGCAGGGTCAGTGGAAGGAAACTGAATTGTTGAGCTTAGTCAGTGGAAGAGAAGACTTGAGGGACAAAATAGCTTGTGCAGGACTGACATGTGAAAGAATGATTAACTTATTCTGTCTGTCTCTGTAGAATATAGTTAAGATCTGTAAGTAGAAGCCAGAAGGAAAAGGATTTTTATAAAAATGAGTCTGCCTTGAGAGAGGTAGTGTCTTTTCACTAGAAGTGCTGTCTGAATGGCCACATGGTGAGCAATTTTAGAGGAGATTTGCACATATGATGTGTTGTTGATTATATAGCCTTTAATGCTGGCCCTAATCTTAATTCTGCAAGAGCTTGATCCTTTAGCTCAGTGTGTTCAGCCTGGGTTGCACAGTAGAATCACCTAGGGAGTTTTAAGGAAAAATACTAATGCCCAGATCTAACCCCAGGTTAGTTAAACTGGAATGTTTGAGGCCAGGGCCTAGGCATTGGAATTTTTTTAAATTTCTGCAGTTAATTCTAATGCACAACCAAGTGTGACAATCTCTGATTTAGCTGAATGAAGTTGAATTGAATAAGGTGGTATGGATTAGTATTTTACTTAAAATAACTTACTGTAACTATATAGCACTTGAGTTGTATCTAGGTCAGTGTAATATAAGTGCTATCACATGCTGTATTTATGTCTGAATGAACTCATGTCTTGTAACATTAAAATACAGGAATAAAACTGAATTTCTAATTAATCACAATATAAGGTTGACATTGGGTGTACACTTTTCCTTGGGCCAAATGTTTTTGAATTGCTATGTTTATTGTGCCTGTAAAAGAAAATGAGAACTATTTTGAAGTAGTTTTGTCCTTGTTTAATTTTCTGCTTCCTTCTGTTTAACTCTCTCTTTAAAGCTATTGGTGTCAGTAACCAGAGGGAAACCACTGTAGTCTGGGACAGGTTAACTGGAGAGCCTCTCTACAATGCTGTGGGTAAGTTGTCATGCATGGATGTTAAATGCAAGGCCTTTCTCCATTTGCAAGTATCGTCATACTGAAATATCTGGCTGAAAAGCATGCAGTCATGTTTCCTATAATCTGATAGGATGGGCAGAAGAGTCCTCTAAGAAATTAATTGTTATATTTACCATTTCCAGATATTTATTCACATCTTGAATTAACTCTTTCCCATGCTCTTCCCTTTTCCTGATTATTTATATCATACAAATGGGTCACTGTTGCCAGAACAGTTTTATAATCCCTGCTGTTTCTGACACCTAAAAGAAACCTCACCTCCTCCTCCCCTCAACAATCAAAAGTTAAATGTTTCATCATCTCTCTATAACATATTTGTGTACTTGTTCTTCCCATCTAGGATTTTGAATTGACTCATCTAAGGTTATGAAAATAAAACCTCAAAAATTGAGCTCCTTCTGCTACAAATTTGGTTATTTCATCAGTGGTTCAAAAACTCAAAATCTCAAATATACTGCCACTAGGTATCATGTCTAACTAAATGTGAATGACCATGGGTATATCTTAGCATCTTTCTTAGCATATGACAACTGAGCATTGAATGACACTGTCACTTGCTAAAAGGAAAGTTTTATTCTAAAGATACAAATGTTAAAATGTATCATTCTATCACAAATTTTTGTCAGTACCTCATTGTGGGGTGGGGAATGGAGGCAGAAATTATAAAGTAAAAATAGTGAGCTATTTTTACTTTACACTAATTTTAGGAATATAGTTACTTTAGTATTGATTGGAAGAAAGTGATGATATTCAAGCAGAAAAATACAATAAAAAGGTACCTTGTAAAAGGGGCATGAATCCTTTGGAAATAATCTTTATAAAAAACTAAGGTATTTAATGTTACTGTGTTATAAGAAAGCATTTGGTATGTTTCTGTATCTGTGATAAAAAATTGAAAACTCAAAAAATGTCAAAGAATTGCAAACAAAGGTCTTATTACACAAAAGTACATCTTTTCAATCTTTATTTTGTTCTCATTCTCATGAGTGGCTTACTCTGGATATAAGTAAAGCAGGATGTTATATTTTTAATGACTAGTACCTAGGAGAGTATTCTTTCACAGATCATTAGCCAGCTTCTTGAGCTAGTTAGGGTTTTACTTTTTTTCCCCCTAGTGGAAGGAAGGGTCTACTCAAAGGAACCAGATTCCTGTTAAACTCTAAACTTTGAATTATAAAAATGCAACTTTGGACTTTGAATTGTCATTTTAAAGTCATGCAACCACATTAGTTGAAGTTATGCTTAGAGTGAAGGATTTAAGTAAATATTTTACCAGAAAAATTTTCTTTTCATGATGTGCTTGTGTACTCATTTTCTTTTCTTCTACCTGTGCCCCTCTGCTCCCCATTCTATGTGCCTTGGAGTACTGATTCATACTGTACCTGTGGGATATGAAGAACTTTTTTTCTGTACTGAACCATATGCAAGTTTTGAGAACCCCTTATGTGTTTGATGCTATACTGGGTGTGTTTTGGAGGATATGAATTATTAGCTCTTTTTCTAAATATTTTATAATCTTGTTTTGGAAAGAGACTAATAGAAAATTAGGAAATAGTTGATAAATTGTATCCAAAGTTGAATAGGAATTAGAGCAAATACACATTAGCATAAATTTTGAATTTTTGGCATACTTTTTGGGGGAGGTTGAACTCCATTTTAGGCCTTGAAGAATGTGTTGGATTAGATTACATTCAGAAAATGGAAAATTGGAAGGATAGTGTGAACAGACTATGAAAGTGAAAATATGTATACATATTTCACCAAAGAGTGAAGAGACTAATCATATTTGCACATACGATGACTTTTTAGTTTTATAGAACTAGCAGTGATTATACTGGCTCGATAAGGGCTAACATTCCTGTGTACTAGGAATTATCATAGACATTTTACTATATTATTTCATTTCAATGGCCATCAAGCAGGTTTTATTAGCCTTATTTTATAAATTAGTCATGGAAAAGCTGTATAAATTGTCCAGTGCCATATATAGCTGTAAGTAGAGGTTTGAACATAACCCTCTCCAACCCTGAAGCCTATGTTTTAATTTGGATAGATAGGGGTTGGTAAGGATATCGAAGACACCAAAAGCCAGGCACTGGGCAACATGGAACAAAGTGAGTAATAAAGGGACGTTAGCTTTCCACAGTAGTGGAATGGATTATTTCAAATGCACCTCTCTTCTGAGAATAGCTCAAGAAGTTGGACAAAACAAAACTGTCTGAAAGACTAGAAGGCTGCCTAAACAGTGAGGAATTGTGGGACCGAGATCCTCAAATGGGAGAGATGGAAAACCCAGAGAAGTAAGCCTGGCATTTGATGTTGCTTATTCCCTGGAGATATCTATAGATTCTGAAAGGACTATCTGAGAGGCTAAGCAGCTGTTTCATAGGTTCATGGAAATAGGGAGGCAAAAGGTAGAGTCAGGGGCTACCAAGGATGGAGTTGAGAATTAGTAAATTCCAATACCTTTGATTTGTACTGTGGAAGGGCCAATCCTAGAAGTAAAGCAAACTGGAACTATATCAACCCTCACAGGAATCGAAGCCACATTCAACTAATTTTAAATCCTTATTGTGTTAAGGTGATCTGAGATTGCTAATACTACTAGCCTAACTTCCTTTTAGAAGCAAAAGTGAACCCTTTCTGGAGGACCTCTGGAGGAGAACACTCCCTAGAGTTTTCAATGTACAATTTTTAGTTTTCTGTAAAAAGTAACCAGACAGACAAAACAACACATGACTGAAAACCAACAGAAACAAGTGACATTAGAAACAGACCCATAATAAATCCTGATATTAGAGTTATGAGACTTTAACCATGATTAACATGTTTAAGGAATTCATTAACAAGATTGATAATCTGAGGAAAGAATAGGAAATTTAAAAATAGAAATTCTAAAACTATAATAAAAACTCAATATATGAGTTTTACATCAGATTAGATACAGATGAAGGTCAATTAGTGAACTGGAAAAGAGATCAGAAGTAAATATCCAGACTGAAGCACAGAGAGGCAGAAGTTTAGAAAATACAGAAAAGAATCTTAAGAGAAATATGGGGTAAGGTGAGAAGGACCAACATACTTGGAATTGGAGTCCCAGAAGAAAGAGAAAGAGAAATGATAAGGTTTTTCAAAACTGATGAAAGATATCAAGCCAGATCCAAGCACTGACCCCAAGGCAAGATAAATACACAGAGAGCCATACATAAACATATGCTGAGACCTGAAGAGAGAAAGAAACATTTTAAGGTAGCCAGAGGATATGACCTTCAAGATAGCAGCACTAAAACTTTCAGCTGATTTCTCAATGGAAACAAAATAAGTCAGAATACAATGGAATGAAATCTCTTAGATTCTTAAAAGGATAATAACTGCCACCTAGAATTCTATATCCAGTGAAAATATTCTTAAGAAATTAAGGTGAAATAAAGAGGCAGAAACAAAAACTGATAGAAATGAGTATAAGCAAACCTACTGAATGAAAAACTAAACACTTTTTCAGGTAGAAGGAAAATGTTCTTAAATGGAAATTTGGCAATGCAGGAAAGAAATGCACAGCCCCAGAAAGGGGAAATATGTAGGTCAATCTAAAAGAAGTATGACTATGTAAAACAATATCACGATGTTCCAAACATTAAGAATTAAAATACATGACAGCAGCTGTACGTGAAAGGAATTTGGGGTAGATGAGGTTAAAGTGTTTTGAGACCTTTGCATTGTCAACGATGCCCATTAGTCTCTAGGATAAGCAATAAGAGTAAAACAATATATAATTAAGAGCTTGTAAAGGGGGAAAATGGAATGATTTTTTAAAATAAGGCAAGAAAGGAAAGAAAAAGGAATATGAAACAGGAAGGACAAATAGAAAGCATTTAAATCCAAATATGTAAGTAATTATATTAAAAAGCACCAGATTCATCTTGGCAGTAAAATCTAGCAAGGAGTTAATTGAGATCGCTAATGAGTAGACTGTACAAGTGCAGTGAGAATGGAGGGAAGGCAAATCTCTGAGCCGCTTCAGAGAAAAGATACAACCTGTACGTTTGTAAATTGGATAGGACATAAAGATGAGGGAAATGTAAAACAGGGCTGTAAGATTTTTAGCCTGAGAAAACAAAAGGAAATTAATACTTAAGGGATGCCAACCTGGGAGAAAAATGGCTTAGTTTTTTGGACAAAGTGAGTATCAGACTTGGAATGAGAGCTAATTTCTGGGCAATTAGAAATCTGTAGCTCAATTGTAAAGAGATTGTTCAAAATGTAGACTTTAGAGTTGATAACACAGAGGTGATAGTCTCTTTATTATAGATGACTTCCATAAGGAATGAATATAAATTTAATTTATTTAACAAAAGTTTAGGTGCCTTTCTGTGTACTGGTTCTGTGGTGACCCCTAGGTGTATAGAAACAAACCAGGCAGGTGGCATGGTGCTTGCCCTCCTGACACAGCTAAGGATAGGAATCTGGAGGCAAGAAGCAGGAAGGGGAATACAAAGGAGGAGAGAGAAGGAATAATTAGTTGGGAAGAGAAGCCACTAAATAATGACAAAGGTAGATTCTGCCTCAATTTTATTTCATCCAGTAAAACCCTAAGATGTTAGTCTCCATGCGAGTCGTCAGTTGAGAATATCAGCAGTATGTTAAATCATTAACAGCTTAATCTTAATCCCAACAGGGTGTGATTGATTGATGAAAACAGAACCAATTTTCATATATATTTGTGTTTAAGCTTTGTCTCTGTTTACATCTCTCTCTCTCTTTCTCTTTATTTTCTTCCCTCGTCCCTTTCTTTTGTACATCTGTTACTCTAGGCCTGTCCTCCTCTTCAGTTTTCTCTCCACTTAGTAAATTATATGACTGATAAGCATTTGTTATAGACAAGCAAATGAGAGGAGCAGTTTACATTTCTCTTTTTTAAAAACTGCCTTTTATGTGGCCTTCTTTTTTGTATCATATTTTTTATTAAGGTATTATTGATATACACTCTTATGAAGGTTTCACATGAAAAACAATGTGGTTACTACAATCACCCCTCTCATATCCCATTGCAGTCACTGTCCATCAGTGTAGTAAGATGCCACAGAGTCACTGCTTGCCTTCTCTGTGCTACACTGTCTTCCCCATGATCCCCCTCCACACCATGTGCACCAATCATAATGCCCCTCAATCCCCTTCTCCCTTCCTCCCCACCCACCCTCCCCCACCCCTCCCCTTTGGTAACCGCTAGTCCCTTCTTGGAGTTTGTGAGTCTGCTGCTGTTTTGTTCCTTCAGTTTTGCTTCATTGTTATACTCCACAAATGAGGGAAATGCTTTGATACTTGTCTTTCTCTGCCTGGCTTATTTCACTGAGCAAAGTACCCTCCAGCTCCATCCATGTTGTTGCAAATGGCAGGATTTCTCTCTTTTTATGGCTGATTAATATTCCATTGTATACATGTACCACATCTTCTTTATCCATTCATCTACTGGTGGACACTTAGGTTGCTTCCATATTTTGGCTATTGTAAATAGTGCTGCAATAAACATAAGGGTACATATGTCTTTTTGAATCAGAGAACTTGTATTTTTGGGTAAATTCCTAGGAGTGGAATTCCTGGGTCAAATGGTGTTACTATTTTTTGTTTTTTGAGGAATCACCATATTGCTTTCCACAATGGTTGAACTAGTTTACATTCCCACCAGCAGTGTAGGAGGGTTCCCCTTTCTCTGCATCCTCGCCAGCATTTGTTCTTAGCCTTTTTGATGCTACTATATGTGGCTTTCTTTTTTAAGTGGCCTTGGTTAACAACTTGCTCACTCACCCCCAATACAGTACTAGAGATAGGACAATTCCAGGGTACTATCAATGGACATGAGATACACTCAGTGAAGAAGTCAGAGACTGACAAAGGCTATATTTTCTTGCTTGCAATAAAGGTGTATTTGTTTACTGACATCTTTCATAACAGATACAATTATAAGCATAGAGAAAAGTTTACATGGGTCCATCGAGACACAGAAGGCCTATTTTAGTGGTTTCACATGGTTTGAGATTTTGTGTGTTCATTCTGCAGTGACCAAGGTAAACATTATTGTGGTGTCCACTGTGGAGGAGCATCCCTTTGTATCACTGCTTCCAGTCACTGTGCTGTGATGCAGCCGTTTACTATGCTGACCTCACAGGTGGATTGCAGGAGGTCTGTGGTCCTGGATTTGAAGCAGTCCTTTCACTTCTCTCAGCTGTCTTTAGGATCCTTATTCCCCTGGTAGTTGTCTCTCTATCTCTTATCATCATCTTCATTAATGTTCTTCTCCAAAGAGTTCCTTCCCTGCTATTCCTGCCATTTTTCTAAGCCCTTTCCTTCCCAAACCAGCTTTTATTAGTGGTCTACATACTTTGTTGTCTTCTAAGCATTATGGAAAAAATAAGATTTGGGTTTACAAATGCACTACAAACTAAACCAATAAAGAAGCACAAATCTACACAAGTGGTCCAAATGTCGAGTGGGGGGAGGTCTGATCAGTAATATTTAGTATGTTCATGTATATATTTCACTGATGCTACCAGTGAAATATTCTGACCTAACCAGGATGGCCCAACTGTTCCCCACTGTCTTGGCCAGGTTTTGTCACTGTCTGTTGCAGTCCATGGTGTGCATACAAGCCTAGTGCATTGTGACCCTCCAGTAGCTTTCTGCAGAGAACAATTCATGATTTAATACATAATCACTTAATATGAAAGTAATATCCAAGTACATAAGAATCACTCATTTATGACCTTTAGTACATAAAAGAAAACCACTGACAAAAAACATTTATCTCTGAACCATGTTTCCTTATTTAAATGGTGTTGCAAACTTTTTTTTTTGTCTATGATGTTGGAATTAAAGTTCACTGTGACACATAACTCTTTACAGAATATTGCAATTTTAAACATTGGTCATCTTTTAAAAGACTTTTTTTTTTTACATACTGGTTAACCCTGGGTCAATGATTAAATCTGTGTAATCATCTGTTGAGATCTAAAGGAACCTTGAGCTCAATATTTTTATCTTTTCTGGAACTGGGTTATGTTTCAGAATTATCAGCATAAAAGAAAACCATAGATGGCAAACCATCTAAAACTCCTAAGCACACTTGGCCTTAATAAAAGTATGGTTTTGTCTTTATTGTTTGGCTTTGGAAGGGAGTAGATTTTCTACTTTCGTAAAATCTAGAACATCCGGCTTTGTCAAGATCCACTTATTTTTCATTATGTCACACCTTTTATTACACAGTTCTTTGAATGCCTTACATGTCTTTCAATCCTGGGTAAAGAAATACTGCGGTATTTTGCAGTGATTGAATTCTTCAACTCTGGCCAGTTTAAATAAAAAAGAAACTGAGTTAGATTTCAACTTTGAGGTCTCTGATATTTAATATTTCTTCATATTCCATTTAAGACTAGGAATTCATCCTGGTTACACTTACATCATAGAAGTTTAATTCCAGATTTAGACTCTGGCTGCAAATCCCGGCTTTTCCACTTACTACCATTCTGCACCTATTCCCTTGACAATTAAACTGGAGAAATTAAAAGTATGGACCTCATATGCTTGAGATGAAGACCAATGAACTAATACATTTAGGGTCCTTAGAACAGCACCTGACTAAGAGGCTTCAGTAAGTATTAGCCACGCTGGGAATTGGCTGATAGTTTTTTTTTTAACCCAGAAGTGCCAGATGAAATGATTGATTTACATGCAACAGGTAATGTAGCAGAAATGCAGAGCCTCCCTGGGGTCACACACCTTGTTTGTCGTTGATATCTTGGCATTTACATACCTAGGAGCTGAAATAGGTTTCAGTCCCCACATTTTGGCATATATATACGTTTAAACTCACCTCCCTCCCAACTCTGCATGTTTCCTTTTGGCCCCACCTGACTGCTGACAATATAATCAGGTGAGAGTCAGTCATCAATTATAGTCTCGTCTTTTGCAGTGACCTCTTAGCCAGCTTAATTAATAGCTTACCTTTTGGCAAGTGGCAACATGTAGCAATTAAATGTCGTTTGCTATTATTATGTCTCTTGTGAAGGAAACAACCTGATAACACTTTTTGTAACTGCCAGCAGTCCTTGCTTAGGGTGTGTTCCATAGCATGAAGCCTCACCTTCATCTCACTTCCTGTCCGGCCAGTAGCTCCTCATAGCAAACCATTGCAGAGATGTATTATTGGCTTTACTTCTAGTCAACTGAAAATAGTTTTGTTGATCTCTAGTGTTTTTATTTTTTAATTTTTTCTTAGGTACTTTTTCCTTCTGTTGTTATGACTAATCAAAGTCGATGTCAATTTCTAAATGTTCTAAAAATAATTACTTCCTTTGTATTGTTACTACTTCACTAAATTAACCCTGTCCCTGGGCATTGAGGCAACTGCATTTCTCTTCACTCTTTAAACTTTGTTTTTCAGAACAAACTAAATCTACCAGACATATGTTGGATGTAACTTTATTTAATACAAATGAAAGTTTCAGATCATTCAAGTTGGGCTTTTTTAGCTTATTCATTTGATGGTCTGAGCCAATTAAATCCAATTTACTTGGTAAAAATTAGGGGCATGCCTTCTAGAAGCAGGCTGTATAGTGTTCTGGACTCCCTGACATCTATTTTTCTTCTTATTTTTTTTCCAAATCACATTGGAATGTAGCAATTCCCTGTTCCTTCTAGACATGCTGTTCTTTTTTGTGCAGGTGGCCTTCAATTCCTGCCACCCTGCCGGGGAAGTGCTTTCTTAGGGCCATGCCTTCCCAAACCTACCCTTTCATGTCTTCGTGTAGATGGCCCCAACAGAGGGTGTGGCACACCTTAGCATTCCTTGCTAACATCCCCTAGGGATGTGCTCGCTCACTACATCACACACACAGCCTTTCCGCTCAGTGGTTGGGTGAGCAATCAATAACCCACTGAGCCACTTTTCTGACTAGGGTGCAGATACATGGCCAGGTAGGGAAGAGATGTCCTGAACAAGAAGCAGGTATTTGCTTGGTCTTTGTGCAAGTAGAAATACTGTTGAACCAGAGACTCTGACTAGACTGCCTTTGTTCCCCTTTGACTCCATGTCTCTTCCTTTTCTTTTTCTACACTCATAAGTGTAGAAAAATGTTCATTCTGATGAACTTGCCCAAGTGACATCATTTCCTAAGTGGTCAACAAGAGAACATATACCTTGAATCTGGCCATCTCTAGCATGAATTGCCATTATTTCTCCTAATGCTCCAGCTGCTCCAGTTTCTCCTGGCCCTTCAGATCCAGTTGCTGTTGTGCCCTCTGGCTCTTCAGTTCCAGCTGCTGGCACTTCCTCAGGTATTGGTGCTGACTCCTGCTCATTTCCCGGCCTTCCAACCCAGACATGTTGGGGGAAATTGACCGCTGCTGCCGGATCTGGATCTGGCATTCTTTTGATTGTTCTCAGAAATTACCTCCACATGGGGCTTAGTCCTCCAGCCTGGGGTCCTCTCTTGGCTTTGGTCTTTTAATTCTACAGATCTAATTCTGCCATCTTAGCTTCTTTAATGAGTTTTATAATTTTTTTTGTTCTTAATTTAATTAATTTGGAGTACTTGTGAATTGCTTGGTAGTGTACCAACCACTGACATTTTTTCTTTGGCAGTTTTACTAATTCATCTCATGTATTCTAATTGCCTTAAACTCTTGGGCTATAAAAACAAAATAAATATTAGGCCAGCCTTCTGTGATCATGGAATAATGTTAGAAGAGGGACTTTAGAGACCTTCTAGTCCAACTGCTTCATTTTATAGGCAGGAAATCCAGGCCACGAAGGATAAAATGATTTGCTTGAGTCACATAGCTGGTTAACAGCAAAGCCAGAAGACATAAAACCTTGGTCTCCTGATTTCACACTCAATGTTTTGACTCTTTTTGATGAGGGGTTAATTCTGCAGATTCCACAGTGGATATTTGCAAGCTTTCAAGTGGGGAGTAAAATGCCCAGTTATTTAAGTGGTCCTTATCAAGGAGCAATAGGATCAGAGCCACTGGGACTCAGGAAGCCACCTGATTGTCACTTTGTTTTTACTCTTGATTTTAAATAAATAATCAGAGCAAACCCAATATCCTAAAGAATATGCCCTAGAAAGGCGGTTCTCAAGTTCTAGTGTAATACTGAATGACTTGGGATGCTTATAACAAAAGCAGAAAGACTCAGGTCTTCTTCATCTAAACCTGCATCCAGAATCTGCAAGGTCGGGCCTTGTGTGATTTCAAAGTGTTCCAGGTGGTCCTGGTGTGTTTTCTGGATACGAATCACTGCTGTGGAGTGTAACAGTGTTTCCTAAATGGGAGCACCTATTTAAAAGGTGTATTTCTGGGCCTCGTCCACAGACCTCCCATCCTAGAACCCCTGGGGATAAGCTCCATCTTTAAGCTGCCTAGTAGTTGTTAATGTTCATTAAAATATGTAAAAATGCTGATCTGGAAGGCTGAGTCATTAAACAAAAAGCCTAGAGCAATGGCTTTCATGTCCATTGGTAAGAAATATATTTTACATCATGATTCATCAAACCCTCCATAACTAAAGCAAAATTACACACGTCAATGCTTACCAAGTTCAGTGAACTCTGATATTTTCCATTCCAAAACACTCTCTTATTTTTTTAAACTGGGTAATTCAAACTCACTCAGTTGATATTAAACCACTAGCCCACTGTAGTTTGAAACTGAGGATTGAGATGTTTGTCACTTCTACCTATCACAGATTTTAATCTTTTTGCTCAAATTCCCCTACTGTCCCAATTACTCCTGTTAAGCCATTGACACCTGCTGGGGTTGCTTGCCTAAAAGGAAGGTCCTCTTTGGTCACAGTCATACGGTACTGCCACTGTGTACAAAATGGACTGCCCGTGTTCCCTAAACATGGGAATTCTTGCCAATTCTGTGCTGCTACTGCTAATGGCTTGTATGAGCCACTGTGCAAATAATAGAAAACTCCATGTCAAGTAGATGAAGTTTTTAAAAAAGGAATTCCTTTGCTCATGGAACCAGCAAAACAAGAGTAGCTTAGTTTCAGGTTCAGTTTGATTCCAGACTCAGACAGACAATGCCACGTGGATCCCCTAACAGTCTGTCTGTTCTGCCCCCAGAGGAGCTGATTCAGTTCTCTCTTCATGAGGGCAGCCGGTCCTAGCCACACCCTGCCAAACTGTGCTGAGGAGAGGGACCCTTGCCAACAGAGCACAAATCTCAGTCAGGCTGATTAGAGCACATGCTCCATCCTGAACCGATCACTGGGGTCAGGACCCGAGACTGGAGCTAGAGGTAGGGTTGAATCTCAGACAAACCATATGGCTGAGGATAAAGGAAGGTTGGTTTCCTAAAGAGGATTTGAGTTAACTTCTCCCAGCGGCAAGGGGAATGGAATGGATGCTGGGCAGCAAATACCTGCTAGGCCGTGTATGTCCATGGGCTTTCTCTTTGCCTCCTGTTCCCTTGGTTGTGGTGAGTCTTTTCTTGCTTAGTTTCACGCCTGTGGAAACCAGTGTATGTCCTGAAGTCCCCAATTTAGGTCTCGTGTGAGGTAACCACGATCAGAATCCAGCACAAATAGCCATCAAGGGTAATAACAGTTTAAGGAATTACAGGGAATTGATGAAAATTCACTACAGGAAATAACTGGCTTTGGAAAGAAAAGAACAGTATAGTTAAGGGTCAGCCAAACTAGACTAACTGCCAGCCTTCATGTGTGGTGGACAAGCATGCATAATCTCCTCTGGTGCCCTTTAAATAGATCACGGGCCAGTCTTTTTCAGGAGGTATCTGAGCACAACTCAGTGTCTAAAAATATGGAGTGATTGCCAGCAGGTTAAAAGTCATGAAAGTGAAGTGCACAACTTAAATCTGACAAACAGAGCTCAGCTGATCCTATTGGTTACCTTTCAGGATTGCTGATGTACTATTTAATGCCTCCTCTTAAGCCTTCTGTCATGAAGCAGAATAGAAATACTTTCTACTTGGGGATCCGAAAGTAGACAATAGGTATTTAATAAAAATAATGTTGATCTGTTTAAAAAAGGAGATTTTTTTTTTTTTTTTTACGATTCAGCAGGGAGGAAGAATGGTGACCTTTAAATAATTCTTTTAATGATTCCCGGTTCTAGCCTACTAGAAAGAGTTTAATGTAAATAAGCATTTCATGCGTGCGAGACTGAATCTTTTTTTTTTCTTCCCTCAATAATAGTAGCAGGTTTTCTATTTTGTCACAAATTACTCCCAAATTTTCTAAGATACACGCTTTTTACACAATACAGTGATTCTGGGCTGTGCATTCTGCTCTGGCAACTAGCCTGCCTAACATTTAGATTTTCTCTGCATTCATGTATGCTTATAAAATCCATATCCAAAACATTTCTCATCATTTTTTTTCTGTAAAAAGGATACAAAGTAAGCACCCTAAGGTTTGGTATTGTTCTCCTAACTTGCTCTGTTGCTCTGTAATTTTGCATACAAGCTTTAAATTCTCCCTCATAAATTTATTCTCCCTTCTAACAATACAGACATTCATTTCTAATTTTCTAAATTCTGTCTTTTGAAAGCTATAGCAATTTAATTGCTTCTGGAAACTAATCGGTCTCCTATCCTTGACAGTGATTTCATTAAGATCTGGTTTTTTTTTAAATGAAGTTTTTCATATATATTATTATATTTTGGTCTATAGTGTGGCTTGATCTAAGAACCCAGTCTACCGTTGAGAATCTTAGTAAAAGAATTCCAGGAAATAATAACTTTGTCAAGGTAAGAGATCTCTTCAAAAGTATACCATAAGAATGCTTTTGTTGTTTTGAAAAAAAAATTAGAGATTTCACCAGAAAGATTATTCTGACCTTATATTTTATTGCACAATAGTTATCAAATACAATTTATAGACTATTTCCCCACAAATAATTGAGGACAGTTCAAGTCTTCACCTTTCTGTCTCCCTGGCCTTGTGGTAGATTAGAAGAATAACATTCCAAGGTTGATAGACTCAAAGGGACTGTTAAGTGACCCAGTGGCTTAAGCCATACTCCCAGGGGGTGCCAGGCTTCCCAAATCCATCCCTCTTGTTTTCTGCTATCCATCAAAAAAAGATTTGGGTGTTTTTGAGATTTTAGGCATCTGGATTCCAGGAGAGAAAGCAGAAGACACTCAAGCCCCTTATTGAACTCCTCTTCCACTTCCCTCATGTGAAGAGGACTAATAACATTGTTTTCAGACCTTACATAGAGCTCTCTTTAGGTAAGTGAAGAGAGGGAATTTTTTAAATGGGCAAAGTATTTTTTTTTTCTTAGCAAGGTCAGGGCCACATTGTCTTAGTATCCAAAGGAAGTTCTGTGTTTTGGTTTATCACCTTTATATTTGTCATTGGGACTCTTAAGGCAGTTTCTTGTGGCTCTTGGTTCTGAAACTTGTGTTCAAATCCCATTGATTGAAGCAATTGAACAAACCATTCCCTGGCCTCAACCTGCCCAAATAACTTCAGGCTAGTCCTGATATACCTTTACCTGTTTCATATATGATTCTCTTTGTCACCCTGCCCAATGCTTTGGCTCCTGCCTCCAGTGACACTCTTGCTTCAAAGGATGCATGTTTTTCTCTCCCATGCCATTTTAGGCAACTTCTGCACTTTCTACCTAATTCATGAAAATGAGACATTATATACTACCTTGCTACTGGCTTTGGGGGATGACCCTTGGTCCTTCAACTCAAAGAAGAATATTCCCATAAATTATTCTATTCCCATAAATTATTCCCTTTCATTATTTTTGAGCATTGATTTTTTTCCCCTAGGAAAGCTAGTAAGCCATGAGTTAAGATTCTTAACTTAAAGATTGCATTGAAGTCTTAAATCCTTTGGTTGGAGTTTTCTTACTAAACATATCCATAGGAGATAAGAAGGAAAAAGGTGTCACTTTCTGTATGTAGTTAGGAGATAAATGAGGAGAATAGGGATTGGGGAGGGGAAAGATAGTTGCATTATTTTGATGTGTGTATCTTCTTAACCACTTTCATCAACCCTTATCAATAAATTTGGTATTTAATATACTAACAAAAATAAGACTTGGACCTGATCCATTCTCAAGGAAGATTGATAAGCCCATATGTGTTTCATTTGTACCCTTTATTCAATCCATCCTCCCTGTGTTCAGGGTATTTGCTGAATTTAGGCAACTGTTTTCTTAGAACAACCCTGTGTTGCTTTCATCTGGCTTGTCTTTGAGCTCTACTTTATTCTCCACTAATTTTATATTATGTTATTTGAATATATGTGTGTAAATATATATTTATAATATCTATATATTTTACATAAATATATTGCTAAGTCATATGTTTTAAAACAAAATCTCAGGTGAATGTCATTAGTTTATGAATTGATATCCTCTGATTTTCAACAGCTTAAATATCACTTTCATGGAATGTAAAATCAGAAACATAGTTTCATACTCAGTTCTGCATATAATACTAACTCATCACAGAAGTTAACATCTATGTCTTCGCTATCTAGATTACAGGGCGTTGTGTCATTTAATTTCTCTGTACCTTGCTACGTGGACGCTCTTTGAACTGCAAACATAGCACTCTGATCTTTGTTCATGAACAGGCTTTCCTGTATCATGAGATAGGAAAAGTATTTTTATCTATGATATTGTGGGATTGCCTTTAGGGTCACTGAACACTTTGTGATTTGTTGAGTTTTTTGGTTTGGTGGCTTTTTTATTTTTTTAACTGTTATAAACTGAATATGCTGTCTGAATTTCTGACTGTTTTTAGTCCAAGACAGGCCTTCCACTTAGCACTTACTTCAGTGCAGTGAAACTTCGTTGGCTCCTTGACAATGTGAAACAAGTTCAAAAGGCTGTTGAAGAAGATAGAGCTCTTTTTGGAACCATTGATTCATGGCTTATTTGGGTATGTTTGCATATAATGTGTATATGGAGAAAATTTTTCAGAAATTTTTTTAAACTGCCTCGCCTGCTATCTATTTTCTCCTAAGAGTTCAAGCTATTTAGTTGGCAGCATTATTAACAAAAGCCACTCAAGAAAGAGCAGAACATTTTGGCCTCCATTGAGAAGGCATTTTTGCCTGCTTCCTCTTTATTTTTTCTTGCCTTATTTCAATAAAAACGGAGGATGATTACCAAAACCTTATCTCATACCTGTTATTTTTAGAATAAGTAATTTAGGTCATTAGTAATTAGTAATTTAGGCCGCTTTCCTCTCACCTATCATGTACTTCTTTTCCACCAGTCATTTCTTGGAAAAAATAACTATTTAACATGATAAAACATGTAGGCTACTTTTATCATTCCTTTTCAATATTACATAGTGTCTCTAATTTAATAAAGACATAATAGGAAAAATCAAAGTGTAAATATCTGCTATGTAATCCTTTTGCCTAAACTGAGCATGGATAAGTGGAGCTAATATTTCAAACATTTCCCGGATATATCTTAAAAGTGTATGTTCGTTCTCTTTCTCTCTTTTGTTCCCTGTTACTTTTTTATTCTGGGTATTTTCAAATATACCCAATAGCAGAGGGAGTAGTATAATGAATCTCTACAAGCGTGCACCAGCTACAGCTATCGGTGATGGCCAATCTTTTTTGTTACCTACACTCACATACTTTCTCCCCACAGATAGTTTTAAAGCAAATCCCAGATATATAATTTCATTTGTAAATACTTCATTAAGTATGTGACTATCTTTTTCAACATTCAAGGGAGCTTCAAGGGAATATTTTCCCTCTTCTCACTTGCCAGATCCACGGAGCCGGTCTTCTAGCACCACTACCAGGAAGTGGCACCTTCTCTACCCCTCCCTGTGCTTGGCTAGGGCCTCTGTGCTTTGTGCTCATGGCCAGCAGTTTTCCCACGTGTCAGTCACAGTTGATATAGTCCTAACCATAAGTCTGACAATTGCCTGGAACCAGAGTAAGGCAGGATGTGGGAACTGGGAGCTGCAGGACACTCTGAGGGAGCACATTTGGCTGTACTCCCCACGTGATGCCATTTTCCCACTTTTGTTCCTTTCTTATTGTTCAACACAAAAGAAAGCAGCAGTGCTTCTAGTTGAGGTCTGAGAATATTAACATTAGAGAATTTAAAACTGCTTTCAGGATATGTGCTTGGGTGAGTGCAGGCAGAGCCCAGTGAGAATTGTTGCTCAAAACAAACAAAAACAACCAGTGTACAACAAAAAAAGAAACACGGGGTTCAATAAGATCCTGAAGAGGCAGGCATCTCAAGGCATTTCACTTTGCCAAATTTGATAGGACTGCATTTTCCAAGAAAGGTAAGAGGATGAGAACAAAAGGGATTTTTGTTTAACCATCATTTAACTAGAACTATGCTATCTAATATGCTATCCACTTAGCCACATACACCTGGCTGTTGAGCACTTGAAATGTAGCTAATCTGAATTGAGATGTGATGTGAGTGTAAAATACGCACTGTATTTCAAAGAGTTCTTACAAAAAAAGGTAAAGTGTCTCAGTAGTAATTTTTTTACATGGAAAGGATATTTTGGATATATTGGGTTGAATAAGATACATAGTATTGTTTAAATGAATTTCACCTGCTTTATACTTTTAAGTATAGCTACTACAAAGTTTTAAATTACATATGTAGCTCATACTATATTTCTATTAGACACTGTTGAGAAGTAGAAAGTTAAATAATCAGAACGTTCCATTCTCTGCTTTATGTGCTGCACTGCTGATTATGGCCCTCAACAAAATGTAAACTAACTTGTAAATAAGTACAAATTTAACATGTCCTTTTTATTCTGTCTAGAGTTTGACAGGAGGAGCCAATGGAGGTGTCCATTGTACAGATGTAACAAATGCCAGTAGGACAATGCTTTTCAACATTCATTCTTTGGAATGGGATAAAGAGCTCTGCGAGTGAGTTGTATTTTGCCCTAAGAATAGTTTTCCAAATACATTACCTATTTATAACCTACTATTTTCAGATGTCAGTGGAGCACCAAACTTTTTTGATATTTCACCTACAATATCCAAATCAATGTTATGTATTCTTTTAAGAGACTGTTGTTGGCCTATGTAATAAAAAGGCCAAATTAAATAATTGTCTTGATTTTTCTTCAAGGAGGATTAGGTCCCTTTAGAAATGTGCTTTGCTTTCTTTGTGCTTTTCATTTTTTATTGATTTGTTTGTATAAAGTTAAAATGTTAAATACCCAAGCATACAACTATATTCTGCTGGCTTATTTATTTGTTACTATTTAACTCTATACTCAAATATATCCATTTTCTAATTGTTATTTACATTTTTTGCCTTTAAATACATGTAAGTGTTACCAGATGTGTATCTTAATGTTTTTCAGATTTTTTGAAATTCCAATGAAAATTCTTCCAAATGTCCGGAGTTCTTCTGAGATCTATGGCCTAATGGTAAAATTGTGTTATATTTTATAGTTTGAAAATTGTGACTTTTCTGTGAATGTTGACAGTATGTGAAATAAGCATTTAGCATTATTTAAATAGTTTTATAACTTAAAAATCTTAAAGTGCTTACCAATTGATTTTAAATTTTATAAAATTTAGTTGGCTTTTCTTTGAGTATGACACATCTAAAGTATTAATGGGGTAATCTAAGTGCAGTGGGTGGCTTGGAAAATTTGAGCCAGTTTATTCTTTTAATCTAAATAACTGTTTAGTAGTTGCGGTTTCTGCTTTTAATTTATAGGAGGGACTCTTCACCTTTAAGTGGTGTTCTTTTTCCTGTAGAATCTCTTTTAATGGCCAAACCATGTTCTACATTAGATTCTCTGTCAGCCTGAGCAACACTTTAGCAAAGAAACTGAAAACAAAAAAGCCTATTTCTGATTTGTGATTGCTAATTAAACTGGTTTCCATAATGGACATTTTTACTGTTGTTTTCATTGAAACCCAGAGAAAAAGTAGTTTTAGGAAAAAGTGTGCTTAGCATCCCTAATTATCTCTGACTATACGTCAGTGATGAAAACCTCTAGGAGAATTTGAACTGGTGTTTGAGTGCAAACATCTAGAATTTATGATAAAACTTAACGTGGCTAAGATAAGGTGCAAAAAATACTGTTTAGACGTTTCATGACAAATACTATAAAACTCTACTTACAGAGTTAATAGAGTTGAATGCTAGATGCTCTGGATCAAACTTGAGCAAAATTCTTAAATGTTTCATTTATAATAAAGCCATTAAAGGCAACATGCAATTTTTTAGGGAAAGCATAGTTGCTTACCTACAATAAAAGTGCTTCTATGATTTCATAACTGCTTACAAGCTGACCTGGGTTGGAGAAAAAAACTATTCTTGAGAAACACTTTCAGAGGGTAGTTGAAAAAAACATTTAACTGGCCTAGTTTTCTTTTGCATTTAAAACATTATGCTTCTGTCCCCCTTTTTCCCCCTTGCTGACTATAGAAAATCTCTCATACCCTGGTGAGTAGGTTGCCCACCAATTATGCTACTCATTCATTTGGAAAAGATACAGTGCATTTCCATTTAGTTTAGACAAGCAGAAGTCCATTTACTGAACAGATTTATCTAGATTTTCCATTGATCCTCCAAATTATTAGAAGCTCCAGCCAAGCTTTAGGTTTTCTTTAACTTAATGTTCTTTTTTTAAATTTTCCATAAGACTGAGAGTGAGGTTTCAAAATAAAAGGCTAAGGTGGTTCTCTAGGATAAGAAATTCTGATGCACATTCCCCATTACAAAGAACAGTTGCGATGTGCTTTGGGCCTTAGCATAAGAGGAAAATGAGTTAGTTTTTAAATGTCCTAAATATCTATCTTCAGTGATACTTGGCCAACCTTTCAAACCAGTTAGTTGGAAATGCACTGTCACTTTTTCTGCATGCTTCATGAGAGGATGCTCTCAGGAATCCTCTACAGAGCCCTCCCTGTGAAAAAAGGGGCGTTTTATGTGCCTCAAAGCACATAATAGGTCCTGCTGGTAGTTTTATAGTAACTTCAATAGTATAAGCAAAGACTTCTTTTAGTATTTAAATATGTTAAGATATACAGCCTCTAGGTTTCCTACTAATTCATATTCAACCCTTTATGAAATTTACCCTTCACTTATTATCCACGTTCAGATTTTCTAAGAATATATGCAGTTAATAAAAATAGCAGGTCTTGAATTAACTAGAAGGCATCAAAGAAATAAAATAATATCCACTCTCTCGAGGGTGCTTTCTATTTGTAAAGGGTTCCGAGGTACATGCTATGGTTTCCTTGTCATCACAGCCATGTGAGGTTGCTTCTGTCCTTACCCTCACTGTAATATGTGGGGAACCCGAAGCTCCCCAAGGCTGGGAGACTGGCTCACAAATAGCAGAATGAGGGTCAGTCCAAAGCTTTTGTTTGGTGCTCTTTCTAGTACATCGCACCTACAGGGATCACATTCTTTTCCCCTAATTCTTTAATACAGTACAAATTGCTTTGATTTGGTATATGTTTTTTTTAATTAAGTTTGGTGAAGTACACAGTTATCCACTTAAATCTCGTTTTTCTTCCTAGAATGCTTGGCCATACTTGATCTAAATAAAAACCACTATTAATGCCATAAATTTACTCTTGCTTATCTATACACTGAAAGAATGATGTTGGCCAAGAACAAATAATACCTAATGCCTGAACACTCTTGTGTTTCTTGCTTAAGAGCAGTTTGGGTAGGAGGAATAGCTGGTAAAATACAGCCTTCCAAAAATAAATATGTTCCCCACTGGTTTGATAGCTATTTATGTGACCATTTTAAAGGATGCATTAGTGTTTTCTTGGTAATAGCAGTAAAAGCAAAGAGCTAATGGACTCAGGCATTCATGTCCCTCAGACCCCACTGTGTAGATAAAGAAATTGAAGCATAGGGAAGTTTCAGTGGCCTGCCCAGTGGCTTACCACTAACTGTCCAGGAGAAAAGCACACATCTCCTGAGTGCCAGTGCAGTGTTTCCTGTCCATCTTCCAATGCAGTGTCTCTTCTTGTCACCCTAGGGATACTCCCAGTATCTCTCTCTGAACCACTCCTGTAGTTGAAACTCGCTTTGTCTTGTCTGCCCTCATGCTTTGGCATGTTGCTATTCATGTTCATTCCTGTTGCAATTGTGTTCGTAGAGCCAACACTTTGTGATTATTCATAATCCTTTTTAAAATTTTTATTAGAAAGCTGGGGCCTTGGAAGGTGTACCAATATCTGGGGTAAGTGTCATCAACAAACATCCATGTGCTACCTCCCCTCCCTTGCCCCCTTCCATTTATGGGTTTCCTCCTACGTCTGAATCAACCTGCCCCTTCCTACACTATAGAAAACAGGTAAGAGCAGCAAACTTGGCTAATTCTTGTCATTCTGTGACATAGTGTGGGCCACTGAGAATATTTTGAATAAGTTAATTCTAACTCTTCCTTCACATACCTGTTACCTGGCAGGAGTATTTTCAAATGGGAAAATGGCCAAATGGAGGCAATGTAAAACACCTGAGACAGTTCATTCCTTGATAAATAAAAAAGGAAAAGTTAACCTATGGCTCACCTAAGAAGGAAATTAATAATATTGTCTTAGTGTTATTTATTGTCACTTATACTTTCAGTGTTTGGGGGACCAGTCTGCTGCATTGGTGGGACAAATGTGCTTCCAGAATGGACAAGCCAAAAACACGTGAGTTTAAGAGACAGACCTACAAACCAATGGTGTTTTGTTTGTTTTTCCTTTGGTGCTTTGAACAAGAAAAGGCTTCTGAAGTTCATCAAAGCTGAAAATCAAGATAGTGTAAGAGTTCTAATATGGATGTACAAATTTTTTGCCATTTGTTTTTTCCCATCTCCTTCAAATAAAATCCATTAGGCCACATGTAAATATACCAGTGAGGCTTGTGAAGACCTTAATTTGTAAAATTCAATACCTTTTCCATCCAGAAACGAAATTTTGGTTTAAAGCAGTCTTACCTCTTTTGGGGACATTGGTCGAGAGTTGGGGAGGGCCAAGCAGAGGGAAGGAAGAGCCATGGTTTAAACTACAGTTTTCAGCATATTGCTCCTGCCCTAGATTTTCTTACTGTAATTATGAAGTCATATTATTGTGGGATTTTCAATGTTATTTTCCTGGCACTGTGCTTTCCCCTCACTATCTGGAGTTTCTCTTTTGACAAGAAGCAGAAGGAATGACAGAAGAAGAGATTTGGTAGATTTTTCTCCTAATCTCATCTCTTTACTACTCACATAGGCAGAGTTTATATCTAAGAGCGATAAGAATACTCCCATTTTAGGACAAGAACACAGATGTTCAGAGAGGTTAAACTAGTTAAGTGAGGGAGGCAGTCTTTGCACCCAGATCCATCTGATTCTGACTTAGCCGGGAGCTCCCAACCTGTAAACTTTACTGTCCCCTGGGTGGAAAGAATTTCCATAGACCTAGCAGGAGACTATCTACATTTAATTGTTTTCTTCTTGAGGATTTCCTAAGTCTCTCATCAAGGTTAACTTCAGTGGTTAAGTTCTTTTGTGAATAATGGAATGGCTAACATTTGAGTTAAACATCCTTGTTTTCTTAGCAGTATGAGCAGTCCTCATGCAAGAGTATGACATTATTGTGTGAGAGATGTTTTTGGGAGGGCAGATAAAAAAATTCTTCATAGGTCATGGTACCCTGAGGTCACAATCAGGACAGCTTGAGTCAGCATGGGTTTGGACACATTTTCTTTGAATTCTGGATTCCAGGCAGTTAAATCAGTAATCAAGAAAAGTGATAGAAAAGTAAGCTATTTCCCCCTTCTTTCCTCCTCTGCTAGACACACTAATACTAGTAAATGAGATACTACCTCTATTTGTCAAATACCTAACACAGTTTAGAGCACACGGGAGGTCCCCAGTAAAATTGTCTGATTTTCGTCCTCCTTCTGTTTCCTTTCCCCTTAAGCATTACCAGCCAAGTCCTGAAATGATGCATTTAAGTTAAGGAGGGAAATAGCAAATTGCAAGATCTTGGGTCTCATATTTCTCTTCCTGAGGGCAAAGAACACAAATATGTACTAAGTTATATTAAAAATGAAAACTTAATGTGCCATAAGAAATTTTGAAGTACTGCTATTGGGTTTCAAAGGGAGGGGAGGAAAATCAGAAAAGATTGCGTTAGTAATGAGATGTTTTGAAGAATGAGCTATATGGGCAAGTAAGTACAAGGAACACTGAACAAAGAAGCAAATAGGGAAATGGAAGACTTTGCTTGGAAAATGTAGAGAACATTTGGGTAGGGAAGTGGTAGAAAATAAGTCTAGGATCGTGTTGTGAAGCTCTAAACTTCAGGCTGAGGAGGTTTTTCTTCTTGATAGGCAGAGGGACACTTCTGAAGGTTTGTGAGCTGCTTTTGCGAGCTAACTGGAGCTGGTCCTTAATGTAGCAGTACTGGGTGAAAGTGAGGAGAGACTGTTGGCAAAGAAGCCACGGAGGAGGCCACTTTAGCATCCTCGTAACAAGGACAAGGACTAAGAGGGATGGAGACACAGAGGGAGTCTGTGGATGAATGTCTGTGGCTGTGCAGAGGGACAAGAGACAGGAAGTAGGTATAGAGTCTAGTCACCTGGCCCAGGGTTGGCTTAGCCAGCGTAAAGATAGGTCTGAGTAGATTTTCTGTTTGGGCCATGTTTGTGTTAGTGGTAGGCTGTATATTGCACACATTTGGAAATGTGGAATGAGTTCAGTATGAAAGTAGAGATTTTGAATTTCACCTATTTAGAGGTAATTTTTGAAGCAATAGAAATAGATGAAATTACCAAGAAAAAAAGTAAAAAAGTATACAGATATTTAAGGAGAAGTAAGAGATGCTGAGATAGAGAATTCAGAAAAATAGAATGCAGTTATTCATTAATGTGGAAATCCAGGATAGATATATTTAAGAAGGAGGCTTGGTTGGCAGTGCAAAGTACTACAAAAAGGTCATAGAGGCTGAGAATGACACCAGACCATTGTACATAGAAATTAGGACTTGAGTAGTGACCTCTGAGAACAAAGCTTTAGTAGAATGCTCAAGGTGGAAGCCAGATTGAAAACGTTCAAAAGAGATGTACATTGGTAGAAAATAAAGACAGCAGAATTAAAAAGTGCTTGCAAAAATGTACCATCCAGGAAGTGTCAGCAAAGTAGGTAGTTTATTAGGTTAACAGGATCATACCTGTTAGGGAATTCTGTTTGTTTTTATTTTTAAGTCACAGAGCGACCAGAGATTGTTTCTTTGGAGTCTGAGCAGAAAACAGATGCAAGTTGTCAAGTAAATGGGAGATAAATGAGCGACAGAAGAAAGTCCTAAGAGGTTGAGGAGATGGGGTCATTTTCTCCCTGCTGAGGTTTGGAGAAAATGATGTTCAACTCGAAATTTGGTGGAAAGCCCATCTGTTTTGGGGTAGAGGCACAGATTATGAGTAACACTAATTTTTCTTTTAGTTTTTCTATATTTTCTAATTTTTCTAGAATGAACATGGACTATGTGAACATTAAATTTTGCCTGTAAGAAAGAGAACCAAAAATAGATCCCTCCTCTCCCCAGGGGCCCTGACTAACAGTAATAAAGGAGGTTTTTTTCCCTCCTTCACGCTCAGCCAGGGCTACTCACCCTCCTCTTTCTTTGTTCGCTGTCTTTGGCACATATCCCCACGAAGGAGAGTAAGCGACCTAGACCTTCACAGAGGTTAGAAAAGTCAGGCATCCTTCTGGGATGTTTAAACACAATAAAATCTTAAGGAAGGGTAGGTAGACCACAAAACTGCTGAAAGCCCCATATGTGTTTGATAACTGGGAAGAAAAAATAAAATTTAAGTGGAAAATAATTGCCCGTGTATTGCTTTGGAAGCTATGGCCTAAATGTAGCAAGGGAGTCTCTTCATACAATGATAATGCTCATTAATTACTTATTAAGTATACTAACTTAAGAATTTACTTTTATTCTTAATAAAGAGCCTTTGCATCAATTTTGTGATTTAAGACTTGTACACTACTGTTCACTACACAGAGTGTTTATATGGGAGTTAAATTGGTACAGGTTTCTCTTTTAAAAAGTGTGAAACAGGTGATTAACTTCCATTTTTATGAATATTTCTAAAAGTTGATGGACTAACTTAAAACCTTACAACTTTTTCAGCATTGTGGAAGTAAAAAACTAGTGATTTATGTGTTTTGATTCATGAATGTATTATTACCTGAACCTCATGTTATTTGATTGGTGTCTTTAAAAACTTACATATTCATTAATTTCATGCTCCCTGAGTGTATTAGCTGTTTGTCAGGCGGGCCAATAATGTGTATGGATGAGAAGAGAGAATGTCTTGGGCCAGGGCTAATTCTTATAACAGCACTGCCTGGGAAAATGTTGATTGGAAAAAATTTCCCTTGGTTTCTATTTGCTCCGCAGGACAAGCGCAGCTGATGGGGTCTGTTGACTTAGTGCTGACTGATAGTAGCTTCTGCTGGGATCCCTCTGTCCACCCCTGGACTGAGTGCTCCCCCTCCTCCCACCTGCCAGAATGTCACAGAGCTCAGCAGCAAGGCCCGTGTCCCTACTCGGGAATCCCAAGCTTAGACAGGACAGCCTGTGGAGAGCCGAGGGTTGTTGTACCCAACTCACTTGGAAATTGTTTCCCTGTGACCCTTATTAGTATCAGTTTGGGCTGCCTGGTACAAGTCAGAACTACTCACTCATTTCCAAATGGCCGACTTGTTGCAGAGTTGAAGCTTATACTGGTAGGTCTGCCACAGTCAGTTCCGTTCGTCCACGGCAGCCGAGTTATATACAGGCCCTGGGTCTCCCGCCCCTGTGAGAATGCTCTGTCCTGCAGAGAAAGGGTGGGAAGGCTATGCCTTAAATAGCTTTCCCCTTTATGCCACATTCTTCGCAGTCCAACGACACTTTGCCCCACTCTGGACCTAGCCTCTGCTTGCCAGAGATGGCGTTTCTGTTTGTGCCCGTCCTAATGGTGAAAGGCTCTTAGTCACAGTGCTTCACTTCATGGGGATTAATAGCAGTGTAACTGTGGCTGAACTTAGAACTTGTTGTAATTCGGTGATATTTATAAGCACAGCACTGGGCTATGGCTGACTGAGCACTAAATAAGATACCTGCATTTTTCCATTAAGATTGCACGAAATAGATTTTCATCTAGACTTATCTTTAAAACATTATTCCAAAAAGAGGTATTCAATGTTTGCTAACTTTTGGAACTTTTCTAATACTTTAATGACTTTTGTTGTACTAAGTAAAATGTCCATTTAAATAATTTGTGTTATTAATGTTTCGTGATTTGCTTTTAATAACATTCTCACACTGTTCATTCTTCCCCCAACTATAGGTATGGAACAGGCTGTTTCTTACTATGTAATACAGGCCGTAAGGTTGGTTTTTTCAAATTAAAAGATTGATGAGAGTTTTCTTTAAGTTCATATAAATAATGCTTGAGCATAATATGTGTGTTTTTAATTGTGTCAATGGGATGCCTACACTAGGACCTTGTCAGATTCTTAACAAAAATCTAATTTGATACAAGGGATAAATTTTTTGTACTGTTTAAGTGTATTGTTCTTAATACTGGTAATTCTGACCAATAAGGTTATTTTTTAAATTGTTATATTTATTGAATTATTTTGTACCTAGGTCATTTTAGCTTTAAAAAGATTCTTACAGTATCTTTATTTTTCTGACTACTGAAATATTTTTCTCTCTCCTACAAGTGTGTATTTTCTGAACATGGCCTTCTGACCACAGTGGCTTACAAACTTGGCAGGGACAAACCAGTATATTATGCGTTGGAAGTAAGTCTTTTTCAATCAATATGAATAGTATTAAAATCTTCAAAGCTAATGAAAGTCACAGTGTTTTCTAATACCTTTTCTGGTAAATCTTCATATATAGGACTGAAAATACTCAGTTTACTTCTTGGCATTTGGTTGAGAGGAAGGAACCTGGGACTGAGCTGGGGGTCAGGATTCCCAGGAGACCTTGAGTTGCTCTGCTCTTCATTCTTTTACCAATCAATTGTGGGACCTTGTAGCCACTTTACAGTGTAAGATTTTCTATTGCCAAAATTTAATGAAGGTATGACTTGTTTGCGAATATTTCTTTCAGCTTGAAAATTCGGTTTTTTTATTACTACAATGCCCCAGTGTTTCAAAAGAGAAACTCTCTCCGTGTGTCTCTCCATAAAAATAAATTTTGTGTCACATTTTGATGTAGGAAAGAAAGTGAGGAGATTTAAGCCATTTTTCACTGGCAATCTGTTTCAAACATGTTTGTAGATTCTACTAGGAATAAGTTTAAGTCTATAGGGCATGGTGGGTTTGTATTAGAAACACTAGAAATATTTATTTATGACATCAAAGAAGCAGTGTTCTTTTTGTAAAATCAGATACTTTCTTAAAAGCATTTCTGTACAATTCATTTTAAATGGCTCTCTTGTAATACACAAATATACAGTGGATCTGAAAACTCATTGAGGCTTGTTTCCTGATGTATATGATAATTTGGTCACAAGTGTTCTTATAGTTAAACTATAAGACTTCTGCTTATAGTTAAAGTATTTTATTAGCTGTTATGCCTAGAGCATAAAGAATTGTAATTTATTTCCATTTTTTCTCACCCCCTCCCTATACAAGCACTGTAATCTTTCCCTGGTGCTTTTTCTATGGATTACAGAAGCATTTATGGAGCACTTGGTCTGTGTATTAAAGGTATCTTAATACTACAAACTCCTACATGCCCTCTCCCCCTTTGTTTAACCCTGTGAAAAGTGCTTGGTACAGTGCTAGGCATGTGGGTCATGCACTGCATAAATGTTACCTATGACAGTAGCAGTGAACTGCCCTCTCTTTTCTTTTGCTGGAGATGAGCAGTCATTTAGAGTTACAGATGCCTTAGACCTGGAAAGGCCCTCAAGGGTAGGGGTTACCTGGTCTTTACTTCCCTCCCAATGTGAAAAGCCTTCTCTTCTACCTTTTACGTATGGCCTTCCAACTTCGGTTTGAAGAAAGCACCAAAAACTGCTTCCTGATAGCACCTCTAGCAGTGGATCTAGACCAGCCATCAAGAGCATTCCAGTACTAGGAGGCAGCTGTCCATCTCTCTGGGTCTTCCTACTCTGCAGTAATCTTCCCCAGTGCCCTGATGTCACATGGTTTCCAGTTGCTTATGGTTCTCCACTCCCTTCCTTAGATGCCTTCCAATTTGTCAGTGTCTTCCAGAACAGAATAGAATATTCTATATGTAATCTGACCTGTATTCCCTAGTGTGATTTGTGCCTTTGAACATACACAGTGCTTCTGCTACACTAGCCTGAGAGTTCATTAATTTAGTGTAATAACCCCATCATATCATTCACTCCAGGAGCATATGTTAAAATATCTAGCTCTTTTTCAAGTGAATCATTGTCAAGCAAGTCCGCTCCATTCTGTATTTGCATAGAAGATCTTTCATTAATTTAAATTGAGGTCTTAATTTCTTACTGTTAAATTTTGTGATAGTGATTTCAGCCTATTCTGACACCTTCTGAATTCTCTTTCAGTCTTTGTTACTCTTGCAGTGTTTTCTCATGTGGAGACTTACCAAACATATGTATGGTTTATGATTTGTTTTGATTCCTGTAATTTTTTTCAGTTCATAGATTTTTAAAGCTAAGACGGACAGTAGATTAGATGGCAACAGGCTTCACTACACCTCCTATCCCCTTGTTTTACACACAAAGAATCTGAAAGTAGAGAAATAAAATTGGAGTCACGTGGCCAAGGTAACTAATAAGTAGCAGATCCAGGATGCAAATCCAGGTTATTGGCCATCAAATTCTAGATACATAGGCCACCCTACTGAGCTGTCTCCTTCCGTGTAGTCCTAATATTCTGGGCTCCAGTCTCCTAAGTCCAATGTTCTTTTCCTTGTGTCTCACTTATGTCACTTCCTTTGTCCCATAACCTAGCAGTCTCAGCCATAACACACACACACACACACACACACACACACACTAATACGTTAACAATGGTAGATAGGATTTTACTTCTTTTTTCTTTCCTATGTTTTCTAACTTTTTTTCAATTACCAAACATTTCTATAAAATTAAACCAAACTGGTAAAAGAAGGCAGGGAAGTTAAAAGCTAGATTCGTAATACTTTTTCTCAGTAAATTAATGCTAATTCCACTCGGTTACACTGCTTCCTTTTTTTGTAAGTATTTACAAAGAATATATTTAGTAATCATTTCTTTAATTTGACAGATTCTTCTTGGCTTGGCAATCTGACATATTAACAATTTACTTTCTACTTGTTAAGAACTGAAACCATGGCTGCACATCTTAATCTTCTAGTCTTCTTTTATTCTCCTTCTGCTCACTTGGAAGTGATATAATGCGTTTCTGCTTTTGCTGTGTTTAGGTTTTTTTCATGACTATCTTTAAAATTTTTAAGGTATTATTCAACTATGTATTTTCCTAGCAGTGTTTATGGTTGTTTAGTATTTTACCTTCCCACCCACAATGACCTCAAATGCTTTACTTCTATCACTTCCACCAGCAATCATGTTACTGCATTTAAAATTTTCGTTTCCCCTTTTTCTTAAACATGCAGTAGTAAGTACTGTTTTCTTTCCAGTTGATAGGTAAATCACAATGAGTAACATATAAATTTCTGTGTCCAGTATCATTTCTTTGGACTTATTTGTGTCCCCACCCCCATTTTTTTGCCAAGAGACAGCCTTTCATGTAATTTGGTAAGAGTCTAGGCAGTAAGCCTATTCTTTTTAGGTTTATTTTGCTCTCTCTCTGGGGTAGATATAAAATCTTAGATTAACAAATCTAATTTTAGAATTGTTTTTCCTACATCCCTTCTGGCCATTTTTAATGCTGATGAAACCTCTCATCTAAATGTGGTTCCTTTATAGATAATATAGGTTATTGTCTGAGACTTTTTTAACATTATCTCTTTTTCACTGATGTTCCATAGTTTTACTATAATGTGCCTGGGAATGGATTTATTTTTACTTACCATGTTAGATAACTTGAATACAAGTTTGTCTTCAGTTCTAGAAAATTCTCAGCAGTATCTCTTCAAATATTGCTTCTCTACTATTACCTCCATCCTCTTCTGGCATTGCTGGTATATGGATATTGGAACCTTTTAGTCCAAAGTCCATGTCTGTTAACTGCCCTTTTATATTTTGTTAATCTCTTTGTGTCTCCATGCATCCCTGGTGAATGGCTCAGTATCAGCCTTACGTTTCCAAATTCTCTCTTTAAAACGAACAAAAAAAAACCACTTTTTAATTGTGAAATATAAGACACGTACAGAAAAATGCATAAACTAAAGAGAAGACCCATGTGACCTCTCCCCAGGTTAGGAGACAGAACACTGCCAGCACCCAGAAACCCCTGTGCTCCTCCTAATCACAGCCTCCTCCCCCTCCCCTGAGGTCAGCATTGCCCAGATATCGTCACTTCCTTACTTTTTTTTTATTATACAATCCTAACATGTAAATGTGTAATCCTAAATACTGAGGTTTAGTTTTGCATGTTTTCAGTATTTTATAAATTAAAGATTTTAAAGAGTGAGAAAGAGAGAAAGTGAGAGTCCTACAGTATATATTCTTTGATCTGGCTTCTTTCACTTAACATTATTGTGAGATTCATCCATGTTGTGAGATACAGCTGTCTCATTCCTTTTCACTTCCATATGAAAATTCCACAGTTTGGTATTTATCCAACTGTTGATGACATTTGAGCTGTTTTCAGTTTTGGACTCTTATGAAAAATGTTACTGTGAACATTTTTGTATATGTCACCCGTGTACACCTTTCTGTGGGAGTAGAATTCCTAGGCAGTAGATTATGTATGTTTCACAGTGGATGTAGCAAGTTATCCTGTGCCCAGCAGTGTATAGGAACCCTAATGTACTCATCATCTGTCTAGTCGAGAGTTTATCCCATCTATGACATTTTAAAATTTCACTTAGTTACTTTATTTCCAGGACTTGTAATTGGTTGTTTCTCATATCCACTTGATTTTGTTTCTCTTTTCTTTTTTTTTTTCTTTTACTTTTTATTTGCATTTATCTTATGCTGAATTTAATCCCAGGCCATAAGTTTCTGTTTCTTGAGTTTCTTCTGGGATATCTTTTTCTTCTGTGCAACTTCCTCTTCTGGTTTAGGCACAATCTGCTCTTTTTCAGTAAGGATCATTTCAATGTGGCAGGGAGAGCTCATATATGGGTTGATCCGACCATGAGCTCTGTAAGTTCTGCGCCGCATCTTGGGGGCTTTGTTCACCTGGATATGCTCAATGACCAGAGAATCTACATCTAAACCCTTAAGCTCAGCATTACTCTCTGCATTTTTAAGCATGTGCAGTAAAAATTCAGCACTCTTTTTGGGCCACCGACCCTGTGTCCATCCCCACTGTTTGGCCTGGGCACACCTACCAACTCCACCATTGTAGCGACGGAATGGCACACACTGCTTCTGCAAGGTGACATCCTTCAGATACTTGGTAGCTTTTCGGATATGCATACCTTTGATGGCCTGGGCAGTTTCACGCGTGTTCTTAAAGTGAACACGAAGATTTGAGCCTCTTGATTTGCTTGATTTTGTGGGGTTTTCTGGGTCAAGTGAATAGCGAACCATTTTTGGAGATCACCTCAGGCCGCATACGTGAAGAGGAAGAGCAGTGGCTGCTGGTCTCTTTTCTTTTGATTCATTATTTCATGATTGTTTTTTTAAAATAGAAATTGTGCCTTAATTTATCTCTTTGAATACTTGAGCACATACTGACTTTATATT